CAAGGTGTGACGAGAGAAGAAATAGAGGGTTGGGAGAGAAGAAAGAGAGTTGGGAAGGAGCAAAAGAAGATGTTGAGAAGAGAGCAGGGAAACTCTAAAAACTCACTTTTAGTGTTTTTAATAACTTTGGTAACTAGTAATTTTTCAATCGTAAACTTTTATACTTTTACATATATGATATTTAGATGATGATTAAGATCCTTTGACTTTGGTCTCTGTCATTATTAAGAAAGAGGTTGTGACAATGTTTTTTTTTAGTACATCGATATTTTTACACATTATGAGAAGAGGTAGTTCGGCTAAGTCATACAATGGATAACTTAATTTGGTATCGAATTCGTCATCCACGAATTCTACCAAACAAGAATTCAAAGCCTAAAACTCAAAAAGTGTTTTTAAGAAATAGCTTATGTTTTTAAGTTAGTTTTGAATCCAATTTTTAAAAAGAGTTCTACTAAACAAGAATTCAAAGCCTAAAACTCAAAAAGTGTTTTTAAAAAATTGAACTCAAGTAAAATATCAAACAAGCCTTTAAGTATTCATCAGCTTCACCGCATTCTCATGTTAAATAATGCAGTCAAGTCTCCCATCAAATTAATTATCGGGCCATTAAAGAGATGTTGGGAAATTTACCACCAACCAACTATATCATCTAATATTGCTTCACCGCATTCTTATTTATATTTTACTTTACTTTTTATTCTCCGAGTATTGTATAGCATGTTAAATTTCAGTGTTAAAAAAGAAAAAACAACAATAGTATGTACATCTTGTTAGAAGAATTCTCAAAAGTTAAATTAAGAATATTGCCAATGAACATGCATTATGAGATCCTGAATTCATTGACCATGCAAGGGTTACAATTACAGTTATAATGTTTTTTTTTATTAGTGCATCATTGATCCAAAACTAAGGAAGAATCTTATTACAAAGATATATGCACCATGTCTTTGTTATAGTACATAAAATTGTAATTGTAAACCAGAAGTTAATATAGCTTTGGTTAGAGTTCACATGAGAGATTACCAACCATGGTATTTTAGTTATAAGCATAAAGAAAAGCTTAATGAAATAGAAGTCACCCCAAATTTGTTATTAGATTTTGGTTATCTTGATAAGATTTTTATTAACTATAGCTCTCAATTAGAAAATTTTCCGTTTAAGCGTAAGAAAGTAGCAGAAGATTACTTTAAAGATTGGAAGAAAAATTGTATAAGTTTATCAGAAGTCCTCCAGAATGGTACAAACATATGCACAAGGAAGAGGCAAGGCATATAGCCATGGTAAATGAAAAATCTTTCAGATTGTCCTCTATATCATTGCATAGATGGACTCCCACACAACACCACATTTTGAGATATCATGTAGCTCGAATGTCAGCCTTGGAGGAATTTGAAGATTTTAATTATGTAATGTTGTTAGTAGCAGAAGACGAAGAGATGTATATTTACAACAAAACAAATATATGTCATCAGCCTTACTGCAAGCCTCAAAATTTTAAGGAAGAAACTGCATTAACCTATTGCAGATCAAAGAAGATAGTCTAATAGAAGTAGAGTTAGAAGAAGGAGATGATCAATACTAGAACAATATGACAGAAGAGGAACAACACGACGTCGATAACATGAGAAAGGCACAGAAGAGCTGGCAATAGATAAACAAAGTTGAAAAAGCAACACAATAATACAAGTGGAGAATATTTCACAGTAGCACCATGCAAAGTTACTTACAATACTTCAAGTTTCAGACAAAAGTATAAACATATCTGCGGGACCCGCCATGTTGAATGAAATAATGACATAAAAGTAGATAAAAAAGAGAACTTGACCTATTCTGAACTTTTCATACTAAAAATGTCCTTTTGATTAAAAATTAAATTTTGAAAGAGCTTTTCATTCAAACCTCTTATTTAAATAATTACTGTACACCTATTAAAATGAATTTCTTTTCTCTTAGTAACACAACCATTACCATACATTAATTTTCACAAATGGTCTTCATGTTTTGTTAACACATAATTTTCGTCCCTTATGATTCTTTTTGTTTATAAAGGGAGATAATTGGTGACAAAGGGAGACAATTGATAGTAAACAAAGACAACTGATAGCAAGCCAAGATTATCCACTCCTTCCAAGTCTGGAGAGACTATGATTTTTTAAAACCACCACCCTAACCCAGGTGCACCCCTTCCTTTTGACATCCCTGCCCGTCACCACCCTCCTTCACCCACCCAAAATCCAACTGCAGATTTCCTAAATCTCCGAACCCGGGTCTCCTGAGATCTTCCCAATTATCTGCGCGAGGCACAAATTAAGCCCCCTCGCCGTCACTACCCTCCCCCACCCTCCCAAAATACCAAAACTATCCGAATGATATAAACTTAAAATACTAATATTCTTGAGTGGAGGACCGAGCTAGTCTTCTCATTCATCATTTTGCTCATCATTTTCTGTCTGCTCTAATATGCTGAATTACAGCTACTTTTTGAATCTTGTTATTGTTTGTTTGATTCGATAAAGATGTGCATTTGGTTACTTATTTTTTAAAGCAAAACTTTGATAAGAAAATTGATCATCAATTCATAGACCAAGACTTTTTACGTATTGATCAACTTCACCGCATTTTGCATGTGAAATATATAATGCACTCAAACTCAAGTCTCCCATTAAATTTATTTAAATTATCTAAATAATTTATCCAACGTAGGGTGCAAGATTGGGTATTGGTTTTAGGTCTCATTCTGGATCTTATGTCTTGCCGCGTAATTAAATTGACGAAAATCTCAGGTAGAACCCATGGTTTGTTATATTCAGTTAATCTCAGTTAACATATTTTTTCAGTTCCGTAACGAAATATAACCTTTAGGTTGCACAGACACATACATGGATACGGCGACACGACAAATCTTAAAAATAGGACAAGGACACTGCTAAAACACTGCGATTAAAATATAATAAATTTATATTAAATATAACGTATATTAGAAGTAATAATGCGAATCATAATATAACAAAACAATCGTGTTCGTCACATTCATTCATTATACATATCATTGTTTTAAAAATCTCCACCTAAAACCGCCTAGGCGCTAGGCGGCTGACCACTGTCCCGATTAGCCACTAGGCATTTGAAAATTAAGAAAGTGCGCCTAGATCCGCTTAGATGTCCACCTAGGCACCCGCCTAAACCCGCCTAGGTCCGACTCTCACTTAAACAGAAAATCAATAACTTTCTCTTTGCATTTTATTTTGTCAATAAAATGTAGGAGACTTGGAAGAACACTCATTATGTGCTTGTTCCTCATGTCCTAAGTATGTTCTAATACTTTATAATCTATACGACATTTTATTTTGCAATTTATGTAAGTCAATATCATTATGTGTTTTTTAAGTATAAATAGGTACTTATTTATACAATATATAATAAATTTACTTAAATCTGCCTAGTCCGCCTAGGCCTGGTCGTTTAAGCACTATGCCCCAACCGCCCACCCAACTAGTGTCTAGCATCTTTTAGAACCTTTATACATATTGGCTAAATTAACACAAACTTAATATAGAATGCAACTGGAGTGAAGCATCAACCACTCACCTCCAATTAAAATAGAATGCAACTGGAGTGAAGGCCGTAGAGAGGAAGATGGGAACAGAGGGAGAAGAGAAATGGAGGGAAGGCGCAGATTAGAGAATCAAGTTAGGTTAGGTCGGGTTGATTTTAGGCTTTAGTGTTCGTATTTTCAAATTGTCCCAAATGTTCCGATGTTTCCTGATCAAAATATTTTCTAAATTTACAAAGAAATGCCCCTGCTGTGTCTTGATCGTGTCCAATCCATGTGGCGTATCAGAGTGTCCAACACACCGACACTTTGGATTTTAAAGTGTCTGTGCAACCCAGTCTACTGCATGAAATTTCAGAAGATTAAAAACACACAACAATTTGAAGTTTCAGAGTGTTTGTGCAACCTAGTCTAAACTCTCTGAAATTTCCCGGGAACAGATTTTCTAATCCTTTATTTACGCTTGGAAATTCGGAAAGGATATTTCAACTCAATCAAGAGCTGTCCCCTGGCCCCAGCCATGTGAACAAAGACCAGTCCCAGAGTGCGTGGACTGTGAAGGATGTCTTGGACAAGTGTGGAGTTGACGAATAAATATCAAGCACCAACGTCAAGCGTGTGGGTTAAGGTATGAAAACGTGTCACACGGGAACACGAGAAACACAATGTATAATCGAAAAAGAAAAGAATATCTAGAACAGTACAGCATTTGTTCTGACGAGTGATTTTCAAATAGAGCAAGCAGCAGAGCAGCAAGTGAACCGAGTTGATCATGTCTTCACCAAAACACTTGCAATACCTTCAAGTAACAATTAATCAAATTAATTAATTAGAAATTCAAATGGACAAATTCGTAAACATTTTCAGACTCGACAAAATTAGCCAATTGGCTAATGAAATGGACAAATTTGCCAAATGCCCATGGAAATTCAAAATTCAAGAACCACAAACATATGCATAATGCATATAACAAAAGAAATTCGGAAAAACCTTTACTTTCTGGTAGCTCCTCGGAGCGGCCGACCATATGAAGCTAAAAGGCATTACGCGTTCTTTAATGGTCATGTGCGAAATTGCAAGTGTAAAGAAAGGATTATAAACTCTGCACCTCCAAAGTTGTTATTAGCTCCGATTTATTTGTGCCTTATACAAAGGCGAAAAACTCGCGAACAAATAACAGATCATCATGCAACTCAAATCTATTACATTTCTTTATATGCTCCTGCTGCTGTCTGCGTTGCCACTGATCAAAACGACATCAATATCTCCGCGAAAGCAAGCAGAATCGCTCATCAAATGGAAGGACGGCTTGTCTTCATCATCACGGCCACCTTCGCCACTCAATTCATGGTCCCTCACCAACCTCAACACCCTCTGCAACTGGACCGCCATCGTCTGCACCATAACTAGAACAGTCTCCGAAATAAACTTCTCCGGTATGAAAATGTACGGAACGCTGGCTCTTTTCGACTTTTCCCTTTTTCCAGATCTCACCTACTTCGACCTGAATGGTAACTATTTCCGAGGGCATATACCATCTGCCATTGGAAATCTCTCCAGGCTCACAACTTTGGACTTGGGCAACAAATTTTATGAAAAGCCTCATAACCAATTCACTGGCCCAATTCCGGACAGTATAGGTTTGATTTCTGGTCTTCAACATGTTGAACTGAGTTGGAATCTTCTGGAAGGGAAAATTCCACCCTCTATAGGACAACTCAGGGAGCTCCAGTACCTTGATCTTTCATGCAACTCATTAAACTCTTCAGTCCCTTTTGAGCTTGGTCTTTGTACAAACCTCTCCATCTTGTCCCTATCTTCCAATAAACTCAATGGCAAACTGCCTCTGTTCTTGTCCAAACTTAAAAACAATAGCTTTAGCGGAACCATTTCAGCAGAAATTGGGCTGTTGACACAATTGCAGTATCTAAGCCTTCATTCCAATGAATTCAGTGGAGAGTTGCCAAATGAAACGGGAGATCTAATGTCGTTATCCACACTCGATCTTGGCATAAATCACTTGACAGGGGAGATTCCTTATAATCTAGGCAAATTGACTCAGCTTCAAGAACTCCATTTGTCCGATAACCACTTGACATGAGAGATTCCTCAGAATCTAGGCAAATTGACTCAGCTTTGGGGACTCTATCTGTCCGACAACCACTTGACGGGAGAGATTCCTCAGAGTCTAGGCAAATTGACTCAACTTCAACTACTACCACTTGACGGTAGAGATTCCTCAGAGTGTAGGCAAATTTACTCAACTTCAACTACTCAATTTGTCCGATAACCACTTGACAGGAGAAATTCCTCAGAGTCTAGGAAAATTGAATCAACTTCAACTACTCAAGCTGTCCGATAACCCCTTGACAAGAGAGATTCCTCTGGGAAATTTATCTCGGCTTCAATACCTTGATTTGTCCACTAACAACTTGACATGAGTGATCCCATTAGGTTCATCAGGTATATTGGACCTCAAGCAACTTTCATTGTCTAATAACAATTTGACAGGGGTAATACCAACTCATCTGTTTCTCGCCGTAGGATTAACAGGTTTGGTCACCTTGGATCTCAGCAGAAATTCACTATCGGGTGCAATACCATCAGAATTGCGCATGCTCACAAGATTACTGTATTTCAATGCCCCACACAATAATCTCTCAGGCGAAATCCCATCAGCATTAGATCACATGTTGTCTCTAAGTGGCTATGACTTTTCATATAACAAATTGACAGGGCCATTCCCAACTTGTGGCATTTTCAATAAGGCGCCAAAAAGTGCTTTTGTTGGCAACCATGGCTTGTGGAGTCATGCAGAGGGACTAACTGAATGTAAGTCCTCCAGTACAACTTCCAAAAGTGCTAACAAGAATATAGTATCTGTTTTCCTTTTTTCCTTTTTGGGTTTCGCAACGGTTGCAATTGCCATTGCTTTCTTTCTTATGTTTCACAAGAGGTCCAAAAGCCGGCCTCAGGTAATCAAAACTTCTCAAAAGTTGGAGGATTATGAATCAATGATATTGCAAGAAGAAGTGAAATTCACATTTCGGGAAGTTGTCAAGGCCATAGACGACTTTCATGAGAAACACTGCATTGGGAGAGGTGGATTTGGAAGAGTATACAAGGCAGAGCTCGAATTAGGTCAAGTTGTTGCAGTGAAGAGGCTTAACACGAATGACTCTAATGACATTTCAGCAATTAATCTCCGAAGTTTTGAGAATGAAATCCGAACTTTGACAACTATCCGGCATCACAACATCATAAGGCTATATGGCTTCTCTTCAAGGAGGGGTTGCATATTCTTGCTTTACGAATACTTACAGAGAGGTAGCCTCGGAAAAGCATTGTATGGGGTAGAAGGCGTTACTGAACTCGGGTGGCCAACAAGGGTAAAAATTGTGCAAGGACTTGCTCGTGCACTTTCTTACCTGCACCATGACTGCTCACCACCAATTGTTCATCTTGATGTAACTGTCAATAATGTATTTCTCGAGCAGGATTTCGAGCCCCGACTCTCAGATTTTGGAACAGCAAGACTATTGAGTATTGATTCATCCAATTGGACCAACATTGTTGGTTCGCTAGGATACATGGCGCCAGGTAATATAAAATTTTAAGGTTGCACAATTTTGTACTATCTTTTGTAGAGCTGACATATTTTCTTCTCTTTGTACACAGAGCTTGCATATATTATGCAAGTGACGGATAAGTGTGAAAATGTAGAGTTGCTTGTGAAAGATGTGTTAGATCAAAGACTAGAGCTTCCAGCCAATGAATTGGCAAAGGCATTGGTGCTTGTAATGAGTATAGCATTGGCTTGTGTACAGACGCGTCCTGGGTTGCGTCCGACATTGCATTTTGTGTCACAGAAACTATCAACTCAGAGTCTTTCTTGCCTTCCCGAGCCATTTGGTATGCTTACCATCAAGAAGCTATCGGCCCTATAAAACTAGGAGAAATGTGTAGCTCTAACTTCAGATTGGAATTCTTGCTACGAGCAGTCTATCAAATAAGGAGATGTTGTGGAATTTTATTTTATTATTTTTATTTTTAATGTTTCCAACGAACTTCATAAACATGTATTTGATATCTGCACCGACCTGATTACCAGAGTGTTGCAAATTGTGTGGTTGAAAGATAGTGTTTGGCTCCGTCAAATTCGTACTTGCATAAATAACCCGTTACACACAAGTATTCTGTCGAGATACTTTCTTAATTATTTGGTTCGACTTTGCCAATCATTATAATAATTGATATTGTGATTCTGGTAATCTCTGTCAAATATTTACGTAGCTGAATTTTAAGGACCATACTAGCAAAAATACCCGCAGTTTTGCTGCGGGTTTTGAAATCGTAACCCACAATTTAATAAACCCAGAAATCAATTAGAGAAAACTTCAAGTAGAATTAAAATGAGTTCTCAATCAGAGAGAACTTCAAATTTCATGCAAGCTTTTTTGTTCTAATTTCGGGGCTTAAACAATGCAAGATTGGAATTTGCATGTGGTTCAAACACATAAGACAAACTGAGAAGCAAAATGAAATAAAAAAAAATAGAATCTATTCCAATTTGATTATCCGTTCAGATTCAAAAAGACGAAAAGACGAATGAAGAATATTTTTAGGCATCCAAACATCAGTTAAACGAAACAATTAAAAGTAATAAGTTCATTGAAGACATAGATAACATATTTGGTTCTTTGTACCCAAAATGGAAAACATTGCTTTCCTGTATGCTCTGAAGTTCGCATAAGTGCTGGAAATTTGCAATATATAAAGTGAGAATCTCATAATAAAACACATTTAAAGGAAAAGTAAGAAGAAAAGAAAATAGTGGTTTTACCTATAATCCATGTGAGGAGGAGTCACAATTGACAACCCAAGAGCTCTGTAAATCATTAAAAACCGATAAATAACCTGACCTTTAATCCATTCAATCAAGGCCACACACTCTTAATTAACTAAACTAAGCCTTTATAGTAATGTTATTACCTGGTCCAATTTGGAGGAGTATTCTTCCTGATCGAAGAAACGGTCCGAAATACATCTTCACAGTCAGAACGCAAATCACAATGAATTCAGTTTTCTAATTTGCCTGAATAAGATAATACAAAACCAAGGTTAGGAAGCATAACAGGAGCAGAAAACTATAAAATTTAGTTTCTCATTCCCCTCCACTACAGCCGCACCATCAACACTTCCAAAATCTGGGTTTAATGAAATTACTGAAATTAATCAGTCCATTAGTTTTCTCATTTAAACCATCGTGGCATGGACAAATGCAAACACATTCCAAAATTTATTCCCAACTTCTGAAATTAATCGATAAGATTGTGAATTTGATCCAAATTAAAAGGAAAAGGAAACGAATTGTTTCAAAATTGTATCTTTATCGTTAAGCACTAAACCCCTTTCCGTTGAATCAATCATATAAGGGGGAGAGGAGATGATAGAACTGAACCCAAAAGGTGAAAGCCTTTACTAACAAAGATACATATTATAGCTCTCTACTCTTAAACAGCTCTGCTCAACCTCATTCCAGCTGCAAGTTATTTGATCTTAAGCATTTTGCTTTTCCCTTATATAATAAATTGTGTAGTTGTCAGTTGAACAAACAATGTTCCATGTATGTTATTTTTTCCCCGAATGACTGGAACCATGGTGATGTTATTGTTTTACAATCAATGTTATGATATTATGATTCGCTAACATGTTGGTATCTATAGAAACCAAATTACTTATAAGGAAAAGAAACAACAATGTTACCTTGCCCCAACTTTTGAGTCACATAACTCGAGTTGATGACTGCCATATGCAAAGAAGAGAAGATACATGTTATAACCCATAAATAAACGTTATAAGCCACAATAAACAACATAAGGTGGAAGGGACAACATTGGATAAGTAAAAGTACCTCACCTGCCATCTCAAGGGCCTAATGGGGTTGTCACTTGTCAGAGAAAATCCCGGAAAAAGGATATCACCTAAGACCTTATTTCAACATAACATTATTAACATGACTATAGAATGGACGTACCGTTCCCTTGCCAATAGCTGACGCATTTGATATTAACAGATCTTGGTTTCTTTGAACAGATTTGCAGCTTGCTTGTAAGAGTTCTCGTCCAATGACAAATACCTTCTGTAATCAGAAACGTATAAATCCACAGAAACTAAAATCGAGAAACGACAACATAAACAAAAAAGAAATTCAAAAAGTAAATAGAAGTACAATTTATAAACTAAACTTTACAAACAAAAAGACATTTACAATAAGAAAGGACAAAAAGATAAATTCGATCACAATCGAAAGGGGGCAAAAAGCGCCAACCTTTTCGGTGTGGATTTGAAGAGGATTTGTGAAGTGGCTTTGATTTGATGGTAAGTTGGTTTGAACGGCTTTTAGAGTTTGGGATCGTTTGGGCTGATTTGGAGTTTTTTTCATTGGTGAAAAAAAAGATGGTTAACAGTAAATTGATTGTATTTTAATTTTTATTGAATTCAAGTACCCATGTTCAGTTTTTCAGTTTAATTTGAAGGAATTTCTTGCGCAGAAGAGCTAGGCTTTCTTGGTGAGTTCTTCAGGTTGTGCATCTGGGTAATTTTCTTTTGTTAAAATTTGGGGCTTTTGTTATTGTGATTAAGCACATATTTTTCGTATGCGTGCATGTGTAGTTTATGGAAGAAGAGGTTGCAATTGCCCTGGAAGCGAATCAATAAAAGAGTGCAAGACTTGAGAAAGAAATTTGTAACACAAAGATCAACCTCTCCAGGTTAGAAGCCAAGCTACACTCCCACAGGCCACATCCAAAGCATCAAACATATATATCAGCTTTCTGGTTTATCATCAAATAATCAACATATTCATCAGTAAATTAATGTTTAAGTTTGTTTTTATGTTAGTTCACAAATGAAATCAACCAACTTTTCATGCCTTTTTGATAGGAAATTATAAAGCAGCGTTAACCGCGTTTTGTGTAAATTTTTTTTCATTCTTTTGAGATGTATAATTCGTTTATATCATAGATGATGAAAAATTAAAGAAATTAAATGCCACTATGGATGAAAAGTTCATGTTGATGACAAGTACTATTGCTGATATCAACTGTTCCTCAATTGTCCCACAGGCTGAAGCAATTGTGTTCCTGAACCTTCTCCCACATTCCACCACCACGCAGGTAGACTTTTTCAAACACGTGAATTACCATCGTCTCAAGCTATGTTGTATTTTTCACAATACTCACTTTGAAAAGGTATATTCTATAGCTTCGTTCTATTTTGTATGAAAAATTAGTGAATGGTTTGTTTGTTTGTTTGTTTGTTTTTTTTAATGGATTTTTTGTATAATCAATTTATTGTTTTAACTTGACAAGCGTAACTCATACCTTTGCAACCTGTCCTACATTGGCATCAAGTTTGATATTCATTTCTGTATTGCACCTTCAGATTATTCTAGAGCCATAGTTATGGAAGGAAAAAGGATTTTCCGCTTATGACACCCAAGAAAGGTAGTAGTATTCTCTTTCTTTGTTAATTTATTAAGAAATGATTTCCTAAGCATTCTTCTTTTAACTTATTCATTTGAAGTGTGGGAAGGTTGTTGATTATCTCATTGAGCTGGCACAAGTGGTGGAGATCCCTAATCACTTTATGTAAGTAATGTCTTCGTCTTTGTGCACATTTCACACTGAGTTGTTAATGGGATAGTTCTTTAACTAGACAATTGTTTCCCGAAATCTGTATTTATGTCGTTGCCATGCATTGAGCTATCTCATGAATCTTATGTTTTTAGTAATTCTTTTGTGTTGCCATGTGATCTTCAAACAGATGCACCTGCATTCTTTTCCAGATTTATGGAACATAGAGAAAAGTTCTAGGTTTTCCTTTTTCTTTGTTAACAAAGATAATTGTTGCTTATTGTTTTCCTTGGCTATCCCACTTTTAGTGTAGGTTGTGGGAAAATTCCCAAATTACTCCTTAGGATATTTGAATCGGCATCCTGATTCTCTTTTTTTCTTTCATAAATATCTATTCGATTTGCAAATAGTCCAGTGTTTTCCTTACCTACTCATTGTTCATAGACTAACCCCGAGTGTTTGAAGAGTCGGTACTTTCTATGACTTTTTGTGAAGTGAGCAGATCAAGCTCCACTCTCAACCTGGTCAGTCTTCAATCTACCATTTACTTTAATGTCATGTCTTCTAATTTGTATTTGTTCAGGATTTCAAAATTAATGTCTGATTTCTACCATTTTCATTATTGTTCTATTATTTTAAGCTACATATGAAGTGTTAAGTGTTGTACATGTTAGGTAGAATTAAGAAGTGAATTAGGTACTCTTGAGAAGGGATAATTCTATGGGTGTTGACTTGGTTTTTAGTTTGATTGTTTAGCTATAACATAAAATCTCAATACTTACATTTACAATATTAGAATGCACTGATCTAAACAAGAGACTATTAAATCACTGAAAAAAGTCCTCTCTAACTGGTATAAAATCAGATTCTTTTCCACAAAAAAAGGACTAGGGTTAATCTTAGTTTACTACTATGAAGTTTCGTGGTTTTCAACATTTGGTACATGTAGTTTTTTTCATTCCAGAGTCATACTTCAAATCTTAATTTTGGACAGTTTCATACATTCGTTAAGTTAGCTGTTAAGTCAACCGTTAACTGATAACGTGGCGCTCATGTGGACAATGACTGGACACCACGTGTCAATATAGGCCTATATAAATATTAAAAAAATTAAAGAATTAAAAAAAAAAAAAAATTAAAGAACTAAACAAATAAAAAAAAGGCCTAGGGATGCGGGCCTTCCCGTTCCTCCACCTGCATCAACCCTTTTTCTTCCCCATCGCTGTTGATTGCAGCATCTTCCCCAACCCATTCCTCCTATTGCACTCCCTTGCTTCTCCTACAGCATAAACCCAGCAACAACTGCGTCGTCGCTGTTGGATCCAAACAAATTTTGGGTCATCGATCAGGAGGTCTAGATGGAGGGTTTTGATGGTGGGTGGGTAGGTCGATTGTTGAACTAAAGGTTTTTGACGAAAGGCGTTTGAGAGACTTAAAGGACGAAGACGGTGAAGGACTGGAAGGGAGGGGAGGTGAAGAGGGCAGAGGGAGAGGGATGACTCATTGGCCACAAAGAGGTCGAGCTTGTAGATATGGGGGACCTCGGTGGGGTGCGCTAGCCGGAATCTGGGGTTTCTCCAATTTTTGAATGGGCGACGCTAATTGATCAAATTCTTTGGATTTCTGCGTGCTCTGCTCGTTTTCTCAACTGGGGTTTCTCCAATTTTTGAACTTCACAGGTGCCCACATGGGACTGGGACTCGATTGAACACAGAGTGACGAAGGTTTTGTGGAAGTGATCAAGGAACAGGTACGATGGAATCGGAGCTGGGTTTAATCGAGCAGTCGTTGATCAGCCGCTACTCTCTCTGGGTGCACGAAGCTCTGAGCGAATTGCCCGACAGCTTCACGATCACTGACCCTTCGATTTCTGGGCATCCAATCGTGTTTGCGAGTAAAGGGTTCCTGAAAATGTCGGGATATTTGAAGAACAAGGTGTTCGGGAGGAATGGCAGTGTTTCAGGGTTCGGGGACTTGCAGGCGGTTGGTCATGGAGGTCCGGGAGGCCAGAGAAGGGGAAGAAAGGTTCTGCAAAAATCCAAGGAGAAGCACGCATCCTATGGCATTTTAATTTGTTTTTTCTTTAATTTTTATTTATTAATTTTAGTTTTTTTTTTAATTTTTTAATTTTTTTAATTTTTTTATATCACGTGGACCTATATTGACATGTGGCACCTAGTCATTGTCCACTTAGGTGTCATGTCACTAGTTAACAGCTGATTAAACAGCCAACTTAACAGATGTATGAAATTGTTCCAAAATTAAGACTTGAGGTATGACTGGGATGAAAAAAATTTCATGTACCAAATGTTAAAAATCATGAAAGTTTAAGATAGTAAACTGAGATTAATCCAAAAGACTATGTAACCATACTTTATTATTATTATTTTTTTAGTATAAACATGTTGATGTATAAATTAATTGCATGTATTTTAATATTTCATATTTTTTTTCTTGCCTAGGTTGCTTTCTTGACAATGAAGACTGGACGGAAAATTTAGGTGCTTCAGTGAACTTTGATTTTTTCCCTTGCTTGGGTTGGTTTTTCAAATTTTATTTTTTGTAAAGACAGAAGTTCCACGATTGTTTGTATGTGGACTGTATCGATTAAATCTTTTGTTTGTTAAACTCTTCTAACATTTTTAATGTGAATAATATTAATCGTCTATGGCATAATTTTTCTTACAATTTCTAATCCGTCATCAACGCGTGGGTATCAATTTCTAATTGACAACTAGACTCGTATTGGAGATCATGGAAGGCAAGATTGGACCCGTAAATACATTATCGGAGAAATCCAACTCGAGAATGCTACTCAGATTGGACAAGGACTGTGGCAGCTTCCCGCTAAGAAAATTGGAAGCCAGGAACAAGTACGAAAATTGTAAGTTTGATGATGTGGCACACATGTGAGTATGACATATTTAATTCGAAGTATGTGTTGACACCAAATCTAACATAGGGTGCAAATTTGGATATTAGTTTTAGGTTTCATTTGAAGAAATTCTCATGTAGAACCCATGGTTTGTTATATTCAGTTAACCTTGTTAACAGATTCTTTTAGTTCCGTAACTAAATCACTGGTGAAATTTCGGAGGTGCAGATTTCCTAAACCTTTCTTTATGCTTGGAATTTTGGAAAGGATTTTTCAACTCAAAATCAAGAGATGTGTGGTGCTAATGTTGATTGACCCACGGCCCCAATCTTGCCTTCCATGATCTCCACGGCCCCGTCTGGTCTTCCCACGGCCCCGTCTATTTGCGCAGACTGAACAAAGTTCAAAGATGTCTTATTTTTGAAAAATTCTAAGGTGATCGGCCGAAGGATATGGCACGCAAAATGATTGGTCACATCAAGTCATTTTAGCAGAGTTTAAGTCTGAAGAAATTTTTAGTTCTGACGGAAACACGAATAGTACACTTACTTGTTTTTATGTAAGTGGTGGAAAATTTTAATTTTTAATTTATTAATCATTTAACACACATATCCTATCATTTATATAGAGACATGTGGTGTACCATCTCGTGTGATGGTCACATCGAAAAATCTCTCGTCTAGCAACGTGTGGTTAAGACGAGGAAACGTGTCACAAGCAAACACGACAAGCAAAAAGAAAAGAACATCTAGAAGAGTGCAGCAGATGTTCTGACGCTTGATTTTCAAATAAAGCAAGCAGCAGCAGCATGTGAACGGAGTTGATCATGTCTTTACCAAAGCACTTGCAAAATCAAGTAACAATTAATCAGATTAATTAACTAGAAATTCAAATGGAAAAATTTGTAAACATTTTCATTCGACAAAATTAGCCAATTGGCTATCGAAATTGACAAATTTGCCCAATGCCCATGGAAATTCAAAATTCAAGAACCACAAACATAAGCATATAATAAAAAGTAAATGAAAAACAGAAAAACCTTGCGACCAAAAAAAACAAAGGAAATTCAGAAAAACTTGGTACTTTCCGGTAGCTCTCGGAAGCCGACCCAATGAAGCTTTCGGCGGGCCCGGCAGCAGCAATCCATTAAGCTTATTGGAAGTCAGAGGCAGCAGAAGATTCAAGGCATTACACGTCCTTTAATGCTCATGTGTGAAATTCCAAGCGTCAATTATTAGCTCCGACTTATTTGTGCCTTGGACAAAGGGAAACACTCCATGAAAAAATAACAGATCATCATGCAACTCAAAACCATGACATTTCATTATATGCTCCTGCTGCTGTTCGCATTGCCACTGATCAAAACGACATCAATATCTCCACGAAAACAAGCAGAATCACTCATCAAATGGAAGGACGACTTGTCTTCATCATCATGGCCACCTTCGCCACTCAATTCATGGTCCCTCACCAACCTCAACACCCTCTGCAACTGGACTGCCATTGCCTGCACCAAAACCAACATAGTCTCCAAAATAGACCTCTCCAATATGCAAATTACTGGAACACTCGCTCTCTTCGATTTTTCTCTATTTCCGAATCTCACCCACTTGAACCTGGGTGGCAACTATTTCCGAGGGCCTATACCATCTGCCATTGGAAATCTCTCCAGGCTCACAACTTTGGACTTGGGCAACACATTTTATGACAAGACTTCGAACCAATTCTCTGGCCCAATTCCGGACAATATAGGTTTGATTTCTGGTCTTCAATATATTGACCTGAGTTGGAATCTTCTGGAAGGGAAAATTCCACCCTCTTTAGGCAAACTCAGGGAGCTCCAGTTCCTTGATCTTTCATTCAACTCCTTAAACTCTTCAATTCCTTCTGAGCTTGGTCTTTGTACAAACCTCACCCACTTGTCCCTGTCTTCCAATAAACTCAATGGGGAACTGCCTCTGTCCTTGTCCAATCTGAAAAGCCTCGTTCAATTGGATTTACATGATAATCGATTTATTGGTCAAAACCTTCCTTCTCTGGTCTCCAATTGGATGGAATTGGTCTTTTTGTACCTTCAGAACAATGGCTTCAGCGGAACCATTTTAGCAGAAATTGGGCAGTTGAGAGAATTGCAATATCTGAGACTTTATGCCAATGAATTCAGTGGAGAGATTCCTCAAAGTCTAGGCAAATTGACTCAACTTCAGGTACTCTCTCTCTCCGATAACCACTTGACAGGAGAGATTCCTCAGAGTCTAGGCAAATTGACTCTGCTTCAGCAATTGCATTTGTCCTATAACCAATTGATAGGAGAGATTCCTCAGAGTCTAGGAAAATTGACTCAACTTCAGGGACTCTATTTCCACAATAACCACTTGACAGGAGAGATTCCTCAGAGTCTAGGCAATTTGACTCAGCTTCAGCTACTCTCTTTCCACACTAACCACTTGACAGGAGAGATTCCTCAGAGTCTAGGCAATTTCTCTCGCCTTCGTGAACTCGATTTGTCCGCTAACAACTTCACAGGAGTGATCCCACGAATTTCAGGTATGTTGGACCCCAAGCTTCTTTCATTGTCTAATAACAATTTGACAAGGGTAGTACCAACTCATCTGTTTCTTGCCGTAGGCTTAACAGGTTTGGTCTACATGGATCTCAGCAGCAATTCACTATCGGGTGCAATACCATTAGGATTGCACATGCTCACAAGATTAGAGGTTTTCAATGCCTCACACAATCATCTCTCAGGCGAAATCCCATCAGCATTAGCTGACATGTCAAATCTAAGTAGGTATGACTTTTCGTATAACAACTTGACAGGGCCATTACCAACCCGTGGCATTTTCGAAAAGGCGCCACCAAGTGCTTTTGTTGGTAACTATGGCTTGTGGAGTCATGCAGATGGACGAACTGAATTTAAGTCTTCCAATACACATTCCAAAAGGGCTAACAAGAATAAAGTATCCATTATCCTTTATTCCTTTTGCGGTTTCGCAACTGTTGCAATTGCCATTTTTTTCTTTCTTATGTTTCGCAAGAAGTCCACGATCCGGCCTCAGATAATCAAAACTTCTCAAAACTTTGAGAGTTTTGAAGCAATGATATTGCAAGAGGAAGTAAAATTTACGTTTGCAGAAGTTGTGAAGGCTGTAGATGACTTTCATGAGAAATACTGCATTGGCAAAGGAGGTTTTGGAAAGGTTTACAAGGCAGAGCTCCAATCAGGCCAAGTTGTTGCAGTTAAGAGGCTTAACACAGACGACTCTAATGACGTTCCAGCGATCAATCTTCAAAGTTTTCAGAATGAAATCCGAACTTTGACAACTATCCGGCATCGAAACGTCATAAGACTATATGGCTTCTCTACAAGGAAGGGTTGCATATTCTTGCTTTATGAATACTTAGAGAGAGGCAGCCTCGAAAAAGCATTGTATGGGGTAGAAGGGGTTACTGAACTTGGCTGGAGAACAAGGGTAAAAATTGTGCAAGGACTAGCTCATGCACTTTCTTATTTGCACCATGACTGCTCACCACCAATTGTGCATCGTGATGTAACTGTGAATAATGTATTGCTCGAGCAGGATTTTGAGCCCCGACTCTCAGATTTTGGAACAGCAAAACTATTGAGTATTGATTCATCCAATTGGACCAACATTGTTGGTACGCTAGGATACATGGCCCCAGGTAATGTAAAAATTTTAATGTTGTGCAACTTTGTACTATCTTTTGTAGAGTTGACATATTTTGTCCTCTTTATACGCAGAGCTTGCATATATTATGCAGGTGACGGACAAGTGTGATGTTTATAGCTTCGGAGTGGTGGCACTAGAAGTCATGATGGGAAGGCACCCCAGGGATATGCTAGAGTCCCAGCTATTAGAATCATCAACGTCAATGAAAGGAAATGCAGACTTGCTTCTGAAAGATGTGTTAGATCAACGACTAGAGCCTCCAGCCAATGAATTGGCAAAGGCAGTGGTGCTTGTAATGAGTATAGCACTGGCTTGTATACGGACGCGTCCAACAATGCATTTTGTGTCACAAAATCTATCAGCTCAGAGTCTTCCTTGCCTTCCTGAGCCATTTGGTATGCTTACCATCAACAAGCTATCGGCCCTTCAAAACTAGAAGAAAATAGAGAACATGTAGCTCCAACTTCACATTAGAATTCTTGCTGCAAGCAGTCTATCAAATAAGGAGAAGTTGTGGAATTTTATTTTTTTTAATTTTTTTCTTGATGTTTACAACAAACTTCATAATCATGTAATTGATATCTGCACCACCCTGATTACTACAGAGTGTTGCAAATTGTGTTTGGTAATGTGGAATTCGTACTTGCATGAATAACCAGTTACACACAAGTGTTCTATCGAGATACTTTCTTTTTTGGTTTGATTTTCCTATTTGTCGTCATTGATATTGTGATTGTAATTATCTCTCTATCAAGGACCACTAGAAAATGTACCCGCCCTTTGCTGCGGGGATTGAATGCATTAATCGGGACTTGAAACATGCATGAATAATTTCTACACAAAGTAACTAAAATGACAGTACAGTACGTAAGAACCAATGAAGTGATACTTTGCTTGCTATACATGGATATCCATGCTATAAGAAACATTCATTTGCAGATCGTATTATGTCCTTAATATTGTACTTATAGTTTCAAGTAACCAGACCACTCCAAGACAAAGATAAAGCATATAGTTTGTTTACAAATCAAAACGAAGTGCTGCCATAATGTATGACTGAAAAAATGCCTCTTAATGTCGTCTTGCAAGAAAGGAATGCAGTTTGAAAACAAACCAAAAAACACCCTAGAAATCTTTACCACCCCAATATTACTAAATAGAAGCATAAATGGACAGGATCCCTCCCTAATTTTGTAACAGAAATTCTAACAAAGAGTATCAGGCTCCAAAGGTCTTATCTTTTGCATAAATATGTACACTGCAAGTTTAGTTCGAATGAAACAAATATGCATGTAAAGTAAAAGGCATCAACGCTACATGCACTGTTTTACAACCATCTCAAGTTGTTGACACAATGCTTAAAATATTCAAGACTCAAATATTTTCACACAAACAGAACACCTCACCTAAACAATAACCGAAGTTGTGGTATCTGAATTAAGCAGGCATACACTTGGCAAGGCTTTCTTCAATATCATCTCATATTTTCTTTCATCTTTCCTATATGATACAATAAACCGTTCATATTCAGACGTAAATAAGAGAATCTGTCACACTGTACTATTTACTATTACAGTTGCTAGTCCTGAACAAAAATGCAAGTGCAGCTGCTCTTAATCGAGAACTTCATCAAATAAACAATAATAAAATTTAATGTAATCCGTCAAAAACCCAAAAAAAAAGAAAGAAAAAAAGTGATCATTTGAAGGCACCGTAATGCCTTCGCCATCGTACACTTGCAGCATGTAACTGATGGATCTGTTCAATGAAATCATTTGCTTCGATAACATGGTTAAAATACAGTAAATACAATGATATCCAATTTATGAGAAATCATGCAGAAGCAAATGTAAATGATAATGGAATCATGAATGCGAATGAGAAACACAAACTTGCCAAAAAGAAAACCAGTTATAGCGTGCAAAGATACTCGCATTGTATTTTTTTCTTGCATCATTCATTTCGCAACACGTTTTTGTTTGAAAAAGCTTTGCTATGATGATTAGTTTTGCAAAAAATAATACGAAAAAAATAAAGAAACAATTACTGAAACGAAAGAATAATGGCCTAGTAATGGCAAAATACACTCCTCAACAATGCACACGAACTGCGAGTTGAAATTTTGAAACATTCGACAACAAAAAGAAAGAAGCAAAATTCGAAGAAAAGAAAGAGATGCTCACTCAAAAATAAAGAAGAAACAATACCAGGCTTCTTCTCTTCGGCGTCCAGAATTCCATTGCTAACTCCTTCAACCTTAAACGTATTTAAAGTACAAAATGGAAAAAAAAACCCAGTAGAAATCATCCCATAGAATTAAATCATCCAAGTAAAATTAGACCATGGACACAAAACGAAATGAAGGCAGTTTAATCTGACTTAATCAGTGACTTACTAAATAATCTTGGAATCTGTCCCATGCAAGTGTTCGACTTCAAAACCCCATCCTCGTTGCCCCTGTAATATGTAGACATAAAGAAAAAGAAATCGACTTTAAGTTACCAATCAAATCATTTGCTTGGCTAAAAAGGTTAAAATACAATAAATATATTCACATCCAATTTATGAGATATCATGCAAAAGCAAATGTAAATGATTATACAATCATGAATGCGAATAAGGATTTTCGAATTGTAAGATGGTCTCTTTCTTGAACCAGGTTTAGGATTTTCGAATTGTTGTAATTTTGCCTATCTTCTTTTTCTTCCTCTGGTTTTGTGTTTTTTTTTTTCTTCAGAAAAATGTAAAACTTTCTGTTCCAATGTTTAATTGAACTTGTGGATTATCGGTTTAAAGCATTACGATTAAGAAAATGTGTCGCACATATGATCCGCATTCCACAAATAATACAGATGATTAATTAGGGTATTGAAGATGTATTACATGAGAAATTAGATGGACTTGCTTGTAGCAGAAATACTAATGGGGAAGTTTGAGCTACTCCCCTTTGTCATCTATTTTTCATTTACTTTTTATAGTGCCATTAACTTGTTGATTGTCAACTGTTCCGGAAGGCAAGGCAGAATTTGAGCTGGGAGTTTTTGTGCGCAAATACCATCGTCGGTCTGGACGCAGGATGCGTTCTATACAGGCCAAGGCAATTGTCACTACTAGCACCACTGCCTTTGCAGATGCATTTGTTGGCGGCTCCAACCTTTGGTCTAACAAATCTTTCAGGAGCGATTCTACATTGCTCCTCCTTGATTTTGATGATTCTTGTAGCTGGGACTCTAGCATATCCTCTGGGTGCCTTCCTATCATGACTTCTAGTGCCACCACTCCAAAGCTATATACATCACATTTATCCGTGACTCACATAGTGTATGCAAGCTCTGACGTGTCAATAAAATCAAAACTAGCCACCTTAAAACAAATCCCAATAAGCAAAAAGATGAACCATAAATACAAATTAAATTTAAATTACATGGTGCTATGTAAGCCAAATGAACTAGCAATATATGTCTAGTTGGATGAATCAGTACCTAATAACCTCGCTATTCCAAAATCCGAGAGACGGACCTCGAAATCTGACTCAAGCAATACATTGTTGACCGTTACGTCACGATGCACAATTGGTGGAGAGCAATCATGGTGCAAGTAAGAAAGTGCTTGATCAAGTCCTTGCACAATTTTGACTCTGTTAGGCCAGCCGAGTTCATTAACACCTTCAGCTCCATACAAAGCTTTTCCCAGGCTTCCTCTCTTTAAGTATTCATAAAGCCTCATGATGTTCCGATGCCGAATACTAGTCAAAGTTCGGATTTCATTCTCTTTGGAGATTGATTGCTGGAATGTCATTGGAGTTTGACATGCTAAGCCTTTTAACTGCAATAACTTGGCCCGATTGCAGCTCTGCCTTGTAAACCTTTCCAAACCCTCCTTTACCAATGCAAGTACTTCTCATGAAAGTCATCTACAGCCTTCACAACTTCCGCAAACGTGAACTTTAATTCCTCTTGCAATATCATGGACTCCAAACTCTCAAAGTTTTCGGAAGTGTTGACTTTGTTCAAAACGAGACCAGGTTTCTTACGGAACATAAGACCAATGACAGTTGTAACCATTAATAAACCATAAAGAGATACAAGGACACCAATTAGAACTCTTTTGTTATTCTTTTCAGAATTTTTGATGCGGGAATCACATATACTATTTAGTCCTTCTACATCCCCACATAAGCCAGCGTTTCCAACCAAAGTATTTGTTGGTGCCGTTTGGAAAACGGCTGGGATTGGGCCAGTCAAGTTGTTATAAGAAAAATCAAAGTCATGAAGAAATGACAAATAGTCTAGACACTGAAGGATCACTCCTGTCAAGTGGTTCCTGCTTAGATTGAGGATCGATAGAATGTACATATTTCCAACCTCTGTCGGAATCTCCCCACTGAAGTTCATTGGAATCAAGGCCTAGATACTGCAATTGTGTCAACAACCCAATTTCTGTTGTAATGGTTCCACTGAAGCTATTGGATTGAAGTTGCAAAGAGACCATATTAGTCCAATTGGAGACAAGAGACGGAAGGATTTGACCAGTAAATAGATTGATAGCCAAAACCAATTGGACGAGGTTGTTTAGATTGCACAAGGACAGAGGCAATTCCCCCATGAGTTTATTGGAAGCCAGGGACAAATAGGCGAGTTTTGTAAAAAGACCGAGCTCGGAAGGGATTGAAGAATGTAAGGAGTTGAGGAATTGGATTGAGGGGGAATCAAAATTAGATTCTTATTAAAGTTGTTTACTAAACTAGCTGGAATCAGAGTAAGAATGATATTGGTTTTGTATAACTTGTTTACTAATTTACCTGAATCGGAATTAAAACTAGCTTGATTACTAAATTCCTCTTATTAAAATAAATTATTCTGGTCCTCTTCTGCAAGGCTCGACTCTCTCCCTACCTCTTCACCCTCCTCGTCTTCATCCTCTTCGTTTGCGTCCTCTATGACGAGGACCTCACCTGCATTTTTGGCCAGCAACTTCAACTCACCTCCAGCTCCGACCCAATCGTCATCAAAAGTTCAAAACAGGTGAGTCAACCCATCCCCATTCAACCAAATTAACCATTTTTCCGATGCAAAAAATTGAAACTTTGGAATTTACTAAATTGGGTCTTTTGTTTTGGGGCTAGGGAAGAAGAGAGAGAAGCTGTTGTTCGCCGTCGACAAGATCGACGAACGGTGTGACTAGTTCAGCGGCAGGTGGGTCTCCAATTGTTTCTTTCCCCAACCTGCACAGCCTTTCCACGCCTTCCCATTTATTCACAACCTACCACGCCTTCCCCCTTTTCTTTCCTAGCCCTTCCCATGAGCTTCGATTTTCACAGGTCCCCCACGCCTCCCCCTTTCCTCCATATCATCTTATTCCCCAGCCCCAAAAACTTTCCATATTCACAGATCCCTCCCACAACCTCCTAAATTGGTGGATTTCTGGAGAAGACGGATTAAGGGCAATTTTGGAACAAAAATTTAATTGCTGGAGGACATCAATTCGAGGAATCCAAATACCACCGAATGTTAAAGAATCCGACTCCGGGAAATTCTGGAACGTGATTCCCGAATTGAGCTGGGTCCCACCCAGATTTTCATTCCTCTCGTGCTAGTGAACAAGGGAATTGCTCAAACTCTGTGCAATTCCGTTTCCGCTTGTTTCATTACCCCTTAGTAAAGACGCCATAAATATCTTGGTCAAGAGGATTGAAATGTCTTTGTCAAGTGTGGAGTAGAGTTGATGCATATAATATCAGAATCAACGTCAAGCGTGTGGGTTGAGGCATGTAAATGTGTCACATGTGAACACGAAAAACAAGACATATAGTGATGCAGCCGACCCAATGAAGTTTTTGGCGGGCATGCGACGGCTACCCATTGAGCTTATTGGAAGTCAGATGCAGGAGAAGATAAAAGGGTAGTGCCTGTTCTTTAATGGTCACGTGCAAAACTAAAAGCTGACGAGCGCATAGCAAGTTCTAAATATCAATAGTGTCCTTAATTTTGGTCGTCTACTGGGGACAACAACGACATTGTATATTATATATCTTTTACAAATGTCTATCGGATAAATATTTCTAGAGTTACTAATCATGAGGTATTTGAAAGATAGTTCATTTGGTATAAAAATTTGAATTTAAATCTTTGTAATAAAGTCTATTAGAATCTATGCTTAAAATTAAAACTTACGTTATTTTTCCATTAGTAGTCCACACTTGAACTTCATATGTAAGCTAAGATGATCATTTCATCTCTTCCGCGAGGATGAACATCAGAGACACAGAGATTCCGTTCTCAGAGAATTGAAGGGAGCAAGCAAAGATGCGGAAGCAAGGGTTGAAGGCCGACAAAATCAACAGCTCTTCTTCTTGTTTGGAGGAGGACCCAAATCGTTGTCCCATCTGCCTCAGGACCATAATTCAAGATTCTTACCCCGACAAGTGTCTCCGTACATTCCCCTCCTCTCTCTCAGTTTCTATTTGGTCTCAGTTTCCATATTTTGTAGCATTTTATCAGAAACTAAACAGGGCATTAAATTTAACTCTTATTCGGTGTTGGGTTTGATTGATCATTATTTCAAGTTTCATGAATTGGGATTTTTTTTATGAATTTGTGTGCTTTAGCAATTGATGGAACTTGAATTTCTTTACAATGGATTCCGTATTAAAGAATAACTTTCAATGGAGAAATTAAAAAAAAAAGGTCCTGATACGAGCTTCAGATGTTCAATTTATGTTGGGTAGCTTTCCAACTGTCCATTTGATAGGATTAAGTATTATGTTTCCTATGGTTGATGAGCTAAAATGACCATCTTAACCTCAAGTGCAAGGCTATAAGAAACATTCATTTGCAGATCGTATTGTGTCGTCAATATTATACTCATAGTTTTAAGTAATTAGCCCACTCCATGCTTGAAAATGTTGGAAATTTTGAGTAGAATTTTCATTAGTCCCACATTGACCATTACCAAAAGATTTCTTCCATTTATAAGACTTTGTCCCTTATAGATAGTGATTGGAATGATGGACCATAGAGAATGAAATTGAATTCAACCTTGGGGTTGGCCTTTAGGGTGTAATAATTAATTGATAATTATATTATTTTTTATATGAATAGACTCATCTTTTCAGATGAAGTATGAAGTGAATGAAAAAACGCAGAGAGCAAAGCACCCATTTGAAGTGATGTCTCCCAACAGTCACATCTCATTCTCATACCTGTTGCGAACATGTTTAATCCTATTATATATATACATCCATCTGCATGACATTTAAAACAGAGAAAATATCAAATTCTTCTTCTACATTTCTAAACCTTCTTATTGAGAGAACCACACAGAAATTCGCCAGAAGTCAGTTTTCCGATGCTGGAATTCTAACTTAGATCGTTGAATCCTGATGAGGCAGACGTCCGTAGAACTACAAGCACTGAGTAGGAACGAAATATCTGTTTCAAGACCATTGTGATACGCAAGCCTCGATCTTTAATTTGTCTATTCAATACTATTTCACATTGTTCATACTCTGTTAATATATTTATTCGCATTTATTATTTATTAACATTTATAAGTTTATCACAGATTGTTGACATTTATTCAACAGAAAAACACAAAAGGAAACAGATAAAAGTAGAAGACACAATACTTGAGCATCTAGCAGGAATAGCAAGCTCGTGAAAAAATTGCTAAACCGTTCTACAAATTCAATTGCCAAACATTACGCTGTAACCCAAGAGAAAGATAAAACATATAGTTTGTTCAGAAATCAAACGAAGTGCTGCAAAAAAAAAAGCCTCTTAATGCGGTCTTGCAAGAAATGAATGCAGTTTGAAACACCTAGAAAACACCTAGAAATCTTTACCACCCCAATCTTACTAAATAGAAGTATAAATGGACAGGATCCCTCCCTAATTTTGTAACAGAGATTCTAACAAGGAATATCTAGCTCCAAAGGTCTTGACTTATCTTTGGCATAAATATGTACATTCCAAGTTTAGTTCGAGTGAAACAAATACGCGTGTAAAGTAAAAGATATCAACGCTACATGCACTGCTTTACAACCATCTCAAATTGTTGACACAACGCTTAAAATATTTGAGACTCAAAGATTTTCACACAAACATAACACCTCACCTAAACAATAACCGAAGTTGTGGTATCTGAATTAAGCAGGCAGACGCTTTGCAAGGCTTTCTTCAATATCATCTCATATTCCCGTTTCATCTTTCGTATATGATACAATAAACCATTCACATTCAGAACTAAATAAGAGAATTTACCGCACTGTACTATTACAGTTGCTAGTCATGAACAAAAATGCAAGTGCAGCTGCTCTTAATCGAGAACTTCATCAAATAAACAATAATAAAATTTAATGTAATCTGTCAAAAACCAGCCTTCGCCATCGTACACTTGCAGCATGCAATTGATGCATCTGTTGTTCAATGAAATCATTTGCTTGGCTAAAAAAGTTAAAATACAATAAATACAATGATATCAAATTTATGAGAAATCATGCAGAAACAAACGTAAATGATAATGGAATCATGAATGTAAATGAGAAACACAAACTGGCCAAAAAGAAAACCTATTATGGCGTGCAAAGATACTCGCATTGTATCTTTTTATTGCATCATCCATTTCGCAACACATTTAAAAAGTTTGTATGAAAAAGCTTTGCTATGATGATTAGGTTTTGCGAAAAACAATACGAAAAAAAAAGAAGAAACAATTACTAAAAGGACATAATAATGTCATAGTAATGGCAAAATACACTCCTCAACAATGCACACGAACATGTGAGTTGAAATTTTGAAACATTCGACAATAAAAAGAAAGAAGCAAAATTAGAAGAAAAGAAAGAGATGCTCAATCAAAAAGAAAGAAGAAACAATACCAGGCTTATTCTCTTCGGAGTCCAAAATTCCATCGTTGACTCCTTCAACCTTAAATGTATTTAAAATACAAAATAGAAAGAGAAAAAAAAAAAAAAGAAAGAAAAAAAAAAAAACCCGTAGAAATCATCCCATAGAATTAAATCATCCAAGTAAAATTAGACCATGAACACAAAAAGAAATGAAGGTAGTTTAATATGACTTAGTGACTTACTGAATAATCTTGGAATCTATCCCATGCAAGCGTTCGACTTCAACCCCCATCGTCGTTGCCCTATAATATGTAGACATAAAGAAAAAGAAATCGACTTTAAGTTATCAATCAAATCATTTTGCTTGGCTAAAAAAGTTGAAATACAACAAATATATTCACATCCAATTTATGAGATATCATGCAAAAGCAAATGTAAATCATTACAGAATAAGAAACTTGCCAAAAAGAAGACCTGTTATAGTGTGTCAAGACACTTGCAGCATAGTGTCAAGATAACTGCAACAAAAGTTCCATCCAATGACTTAACACTCAGATTCTGTCGCTTCATAATTTCCAATTTCAGTTCCTTACCAGCCTCAGTGAGCATTTCACCAATTTCAATCTTCCTAGAACTTTTATACTTATCTCTGTGGTAGAATTGAGAAAGAAAAAAAACTCAAATTCAAGTCAAGAAATGCAAATCCGTATTTCTAGCATTGAACTGATCAAAGAGAAAACTAAAAGCATAATCCTTTAACCGTACAATGCAAATCTGACTATGCTACAACAAATTCAAATCAAGAAAATGCAAATCCGTATTTCTGGCATTGAACTGATCAAAGAGAAAACCAAAAGCGTAATACTTCAACCGTACAACGGCAATCTCAGTATGATAAAACAACCATCAATTTCTTGAATAATGTCCATAGCGAGAGAATTGAACTATAGAGCCTGGGACATTTGATTAATTTCATCTGTGAAAACAGATCTTTCTTTTATTCTCTCTTAAACTAACCTTAATAATATACCAATGATAAGTCAATGGTCAAAATCCTCATATAATAATTTTTCATTGATAATAAGCCAAAAGATAGATACTCAAACATATAATGGGCAGAAAAGTACAACAACAACAACAAAGTATTTTTCCATTAAGTGTGGTCGGTTATATGAAACCTAAAAAGTCATTGCAGCTCAGTTATGTGCCATGTCTTTAATTAGATCATAATGGGTAGAAAAGTAAGAGTAAAAAATCCAAACCTCAAGAATATAATTGTATTACACCAAAGCTGCATGCTTAATTAAAAGTACTGCCAAAGGAAAGTGTCAACAAAAATGAAATTTAACAAAAGATTTAGTGCTAAAAGAAGTAACGCATACAATTAACCTATTTTATAATGAATCCAATTCGTAAATATTTGGAGTGTAGGCGTTTCTTCCTACCAACACACCCAAAATATAATTCTTTAATAAATTTAATTCATTCCATACATAACCATGCTAGGGTTATTGTGTTGCCTTCTTCGTGTTTTTCTTCTCCGAATAAATATGGAACCAAACCTATAAACTGTCTATTCAACTCAATACACAAAAGCCAAATTAAAAATCAACAAGTACAATCCAAGCCTTATCAAAATAGGTAAAACATAGACATTGCTCATATGCAGAGCAAAGTACAATTTGCCCTACCAACTTGTATGAATTGGGCCAGCGACAGAGAAATTCAGTTGAGAGAGAAAGACCACGTAAATACCGCTATGAAAACCATAACATTTTTAGGTTCCAATCGCATAAGATATGACTTGAAAATTTAATAATATTAAGATGAAACGCAACCAGGTTCCAATCACAGCAATATGCCAAACAAAATATCATTCAAAACCACAACAATATGCCAGCCTACAGCCCATCTCGTTGTTCCAAAATTTGTGAAAAAAAATCAATTCCAATTCATATTCAAATGCCAAAATTATCAAATAATGTTTGAAAGGATTATAACTATTTTTTAACTTAATCGATTAGTTTAGTTTCAATCACCTCCTCAACATTTTGGAAAGGCAAGAACTTTGCCCAGAGAGCCAATATTTGTCTACAAAAGCTCTACCTCAAGTGGGCAAACTCCCAAAATAATAGGAATATTACCAAAAACCATACACCCTTCCAAAACCCTAGCAATCGATATAAATTTGAAACAAATAAAAATTGGGGGAAATTAATAGATAATCAAATTTACTTGTGAAGATGAAGAGGGCAATTTTCGCTTACCTTCAGTCAAGAGGAATTTGTAAAACGTGGTGGCGGCGGCTGTCTGGGTTTTGGATGAGCAACAACGATATGGGTTTTGGGTTTAGAACGATGTGGAAATTCATTTGGATGAGCAGGTTGTCGTGTGGATTCAAACTACAGCAACAAGGAAAAGGCGGGGGGATGTGCCGATTCGGACTGGAGCAAGAAGGAAGCAGTGGAGGAGGAAAGCCGTGAGCGAACCACGCATAAAAATGGGCATTCATGTCTTTTCACTGTACCCCCATAAAATAAGGGGACGTTTGTTACACCGGACTATCTCAGACTGAACTAGCTTTAATGACTAAGCTGGATTGTCTTAGAATAGACTAAGCTAGACTAACTTAATGAAGCGTTTGATGCAGTGGTGGACTAAGAAGCAGGATAATTAATAAGTTCTAATATTATATTAATTTATCTATATCTCTTTTAATATTTTATTCTTACTTCTCTCATTTTTTCCTTCTTTTTTTTGAAAGCTCTTCCTCTTCTTCGAAACCCAGTTCCATACTTTGAGATCAAATCAAAACCAACGCCTCCGAGGGAATGGTCTCCCATAACCGCCGCCGTCGTAGTTCTCTCGGATTTGAGATGAGGGAATGGTCTCCCATAACCGCCGCCGTTACGATCTCAACACCGGATGCCAGTACTTCATCCAGGGCCTTCGCCTCGTTGACCTCGAGTACCTCCGCCGCACCGGCAACTTCCTCCCCCCACCCAACGCCTCCGAGTCCTGCTGGGTGCCTCCGCCTGCAACTAGTCTCTCGAAAATGGATCGCCCTGCGCCCTCTGCACCACCAGAATGACCTTGCAGAGCTTGCTCTTGACCGGCGAGTCCGTCGGAAACGTCTCCACCTGCGCGGCGTACCCGTCTTGGTGTGGTGCTGTGATCTCGTTGGAGAGAGGACGCAACGCAGACGAAGCAAAGTCTTCGCAAAGGGAGGACGCCAAGCGACACAAAGGAGACGAAGCAGGTCTTAGCAGTCCCGTGGTTTTCGGGGGGTTTCGCTAAGACGACCTAGCGAGGGAGATAGTCCACACGAGTCCGGGCTAGTCTCATTTAAGTTAGTCCCCAAGCTTACCAAACATGGGACAATAATCCTAGCCAGTCCAATCCCATTTAAAAAGGTGAAACAAACGCCCCCTAAAAGGAAGGAAAAAACCGTTCGAAATCCGTCATTTCACTGTGCTTAAATACAGTGAAGTTGCTGGGTTTTAGTATATACTAGCTATTAGATGATACTAGCAACGGTGCCCGCTCTGATGAGGGTTTTAAAACTAAAACATGCATAAAATTCTAAATACCTACTATATACAACACTATTCATATTCACGTGGAAATTGACGATGTTTACAATAACTAAAATCTAGGTGTTATATATTAGAGTCATTGATTTCTGGTGCAGAGTTCACGGATTTGCGGAACCAGCAGGGAAGAATAGGTGTACAAAGTTAAATCAATGATATATATTACCAACTCCAACTATTAAAATTAAAACAAAATTCAAGTTTTTGTATTGAAATTTAATTGGGTTCGTGCAATAATTAATAGCTCAAACAAATAAAATTGATAAAATGAATTGAGGATGTTACCTCAAACTGTCCAGGATTGCTAATGGAGGGGATGAGCTTTGCAATGTGAAGAGATTCAACATTGTCATTGTTAATTAAGTATATTGTAGTTTCAGTAGAAACTTTAATTACATCTTCGTGTTCCATGATGAAGGACTCCTTTTTGAGTTTCAACAACACATTGTTCAAAAATTACAAAACAACATAAATGGAGATATTACAGCTTTTGATAATATAATATAAAAAATTGTGTTAAAGAAGATATTAGATGCTAATCTCAAAAGGGTATGTTCCACGGTCCACCACTTAAAATTTGCAATACTAATTTTGAACAAAGAATAAAAAAATTCTACCAAGAGACAGTCAAATAGTACATCAATTTAATTTCTATAAAAGAAATTTTGTGCAAAAATTTCATGAAATTTTGGTGAAGACGGAAAAGAAAAGGGTTAAGGCAATCAAAGACTAATGAAAGTTATGGTATTGATTTAACATTAACTCAGGCTGATTTTGGTCACCAGCATTAATAAATCGAATGACTTCAACTTGGGCAAGCAAATGATTAAATTAGACGTAAGCGAGGTAGCTTAGAATTTAACCATATCAAAAAAGTAATGACAATCAAACTAACCTCTTCTTTTCATATGAAGTAGAATCTGTTATCTATTTTGCCTTTGTGAAGAATGCATTTTTCACTCTCTACACACAAAATGCATACATTGAAAAAGTCAGCTACAACATAAAAACTTTACATATACATCACTGTATATGTATCCTAAACTATATTGTATATGTATCAAATACTATATTGTACATGTATTTGGACATAAGATATAAAGATTTACTAACATAACTAAGCTTAAATTTATCAAAAGAAGTAATTACAAATTGAAATCATACGATATTATGGTTGTTCAAAAACAATCTGACTAAATTTTACAAATAGCATTATAAATTGTTAAAAAAAAAACACCATTGAAAAAACACACTACTCAAATCTACAATTCTATTAAAAACACATCACTAAAAACTAACTCCAAGGAAGGGGGGGATTAACAAATTCTACCTTTTTAAGAGTTAGAATTGTTTTATCTATATCTTGAGCTGGATCCGCTGGATTTGAATCCTCGGTTGACTTAGAGGGAGGACAGGCATGGAAAGAAGTCATCTTGCAAGCAGAGATCAACTGCTTTTTTACCCTTTGATCACCCAGATTGTTATTCGACTCAAGAAATCCTGAAACCAACTACGCAATTAAATTAAGACCACAATGCACTAAATGACATTTAGAACCACAATGCACCAAAACTAAAGACGAATGGAAAATGCTAAAGAAATGTAAGTATTCATATCTAAATTTAATTTGCCAAATATTTTTCTTGCTGAAAAATTTTGATCTGCAAAACCAAATAACATTTTTCAACAAAAAAGAACTAATTCAACAAAGCAAATACAGTATACAAAAACAGCTATTCAATTTAGCGTCATTATTAGAATACAGGAAGTCCATTCAAAACGTCCAAAAGGATAAAAATATAGAAGAACCAACCTTTTTGAAAGGTCACTGGTTCCAGTGTTGTACCGTTCAATAACTTTAGCATGAACCAAATAGCTGAAATAAAAACAAGCTCCATAAAAACCAAATAGCTAAACAAGTCCGTTATATACGTTCAGTGTCATGTTTAGCAAGAACAGCTAGGGAATTCTGCAAATGGGTTGTCCCTAAAAAACCCGCAGAAAAAATTCCCGCAAACTCAGAAGCAGATCGCAGACCAAGAAAATCAAAGAGAGGTAAATTAGGGTACCTTTTTTTTTACCCCATTAGCTCAATCTCATTTATGGCAACAACAATTATAATGATGATTTATGTTTTTTGTTTTAGTGTGGAATATGTTCATTCCCAGAAGAAATGAGGTGTGAAGATCTTAATGATGAGCTGGTACAAGGGATTACTGATATGTAATTTATTTTGGGCATTCCACTTGACAACTTAGTTGATGCAAGGATCGTAAGAAAGTTTTTAGAAATTTTTTGCGAACTGCTGAAACGATTACAAAGCTTTCAGGACATGTATGTTGTCATGTGGTGCGCACAGACAAAATATATGCGAGGGGCTAGGGGTAGAGAGATGGGGTGGGTGCAGTCATGTTCTCTTTCTAAATCCTTCCTTTCCCAATTCGCGTCTCTGCTTGTTGGCGTTCGTCTTCCTTCTCAAGGTAAGGACTTTTCAATCAATTTCTGAAGATTTAATTTGGGTTCTATTGTTTTAGTTTGTACCTTCACGGATCTATAAGCAATAGTTTCAGATGTAATGGTTTTGTTTTCGAATTTTCCTAGCTGTGTAGCTCTCCATTTTTTATTTTTTTGCTTCTGAATCTGAAATTTTTTATTGCTGTAGACATAACACAGATTTTTTTTATTTTATTTTATTTTATATTTTCATTTGGTGAATTGGGTTGTAGTTCAATTGATCTTTAATCATGTAAATATGTTGCTTTTTTGTGTTTATTTTTTCTTTGTAGATGGAGAGAGATTGCCTTTGGCTGTTAATGAGTTGGGCACGTGATCTTTACTCTCAGGTGAGGCTTTGTTTGATTCTTATTTTTCAATCATGTTCCTTTCTTGAGAGATACATCATTCAATTTCATAATTTCTGCTGCAACCTATCATTTTAACTTAGATGTGCTTGAAGATTTACACATTGTCATCTTGACATCATGTGTCTCCAGACAATCCTGTTTTGAATGAATGGTGAATTGGTGATAGACTTTCAAATCTGCTTTTGTGGTCGAAAGAGGTTGGTTATTCAATATTTTCATTTATGCCCTTTTAGACTTTTAGTTGTTTGAACGGACTTTCTATAATCTAAATGAAGCTAAATTTAATAGTTGTCTTTGTATAATGTATTTGCATTGTTAAATTGGGTTTTTTTTTGGCTAGAAAATATAAATATCACATGTAACATTTGTACAAGTTAACTACTTACATTAATAATTTAATGAACGTTTAATAGATACTTCACAACTTTGTTCATAAGATTTGTACAAGTATCTCAACCCCATAAATTCTATTTCTGTTAAACAGAACAGAAGTGCTCCTAATGCTGCTCACCAAGGTGCAAAATCATCAGGAAGCATTTTTCCGACTCTTTCAAAGCCCCTCCGGTAGGATTCCAAGTTTTACTCCTAATTTATTTTCTCTGTTTCAGTGCTTTTGAAAAGTTTCAGTTTTTCGTACTTCTCTAACCCATCACAGTACTCATACACACACTTATATATACGTATGTGCACCTTCTTTAGTTTCTCTGTGAAACATGTACTCTCTCTGTTATTGTAAAGAATGTTTGATTTAGTGACTTAATTAATCTCAACTAGCCTACTGTAGTTGAAGATTTGGATTTTACTTTAGTTCATTTTAAATGAATGGTTTGCAATCCTAATTCCATGTCTTTCTTATGTTCATGGTTTTGATTAAGCTTTGTGACTGTGAACCAGTGTGTCTAAAACTTAAGTCGGCATTTCTTAATGAGGAAACTAATACAATAATCAAGGGTTCGGTTGGGACCCTTTTTGCGCGGATTAGAATCACTTCCGAGAACAACACCTCCCACTTTTAATCATAGAATCACCTTCAAAATAGGCCATAAGCAATACAAAATCCAAAAGCTTTAATTAGTCATCCACCTGCTCAGCAATTCATAGGCCAAACATCCCGTCTTCGAAAGCGGAAGAACTTGCGCTACAATTCACGGGGAGGGGGACTTGCGCTACAATTCACGGGAACCCCCTCCCTCTGTACTCCTCCCTCGATTGTCAGCAAATCCCTAAGATTGAGAAATGAAACAGAATTGCAAGCAAAACTTAAAGAAAAACAGTCAGGTGTTGATGCTTAAAGAAAAACAAAGTTTCACATGTAGTTAAGTAATATTTAAATTTGAATTGTGTACAACGATATTTTTCTTAACAATGCATCAACCAATATGCAGTGCGAATGAAGGAACTGACTGTGCATAAGATGATCCCAAATAAGCTTATCATAGCTTTTAAAATTAGGGTTTCTTGGTAACCGGCTCATTGTCACCATTAACCTGGCAAATCCTTAAAATTAATTTGACTAATTAGTATGATACATTGAAACAGAGAGCATCTTGAATAAGATATAAATGTTAGATAAACACTGCAGAATATAGGCTGAACTTAGGGGGGGTGTATTCAATTGAGATTTTGAGGGATTTTAATTCTTTTAATGAATTTAAGGGTATTCAATTAGGATTTTAAGTGATATCTAAAATTCAAGATGTATTCAATTAGAATTTTAAGATAGTTTATTAAAATATTTAGAAATCCGGGTGTATTCAATTAGGATTTTAAAAAAGTTTTAACATTCTAGGTGTATTCAATTAGAAATTGATTTTAAAGAATTTGTGAAAGTTGAGGAATTAGTGGGAATTGAAGAGATTTCGTAGTGTATTTTAAGCATCCACAAATCTTACATCTTCCCATGAGATTTCGAGGGAATTGAATAAACATTTTATATGGAATCTCTACAAATCAATTAAACTCTACAAAAATTCATGGATTTATAAATCCATTAAAATCTCTCAAATTCTCAATTGAATACACCCCTAATATATAATCATTCATAATTCAATCGTATAAGGGACACAGATTAATGGAAAACAGAAAATTATCTTTTAAGGACCTTGTGCAAGAAAAGACATAAATTTTAAAACCTACGAATTGCTGAGCAGGTGGATGACTAATTAAAGCTTTTGGATTTTGTATTGCTTATGGCCTATTTTTGAGTTGATTCTATGCTTCTTACTGGGCTCGGCCCATAACAATATTCCTGATGTTTCTTACTGGGCTGAAAACAAAACTGAGCTCAGCCCGAAATGTTATTTCAGGCCCAAACACTTATATAAATACATTATTCTATTTAGATTTTTTGCTTGATAATAATATTTGTATGTATCATTGGCTTTGATTACGTGAGCTGTATGATTGATGCATGTTTCTTTTATTCGTGGGCCAGAAGATCTCAAACAGGAAAAATAAAGCAAACTAAAAATGAAATAGTTATTAAACACATTCTGAATGTTGTTTGGTTGATATGTATTATGATTAATTGCTTCAAGCATAGATAAACATGAAACAAAAGCAATGGCCATTTGTGCCAATCTTACCGCTCAAGTAAACATAGAATTCGGCTTCTAGCTTCCATCAGCTTGTAGCCCCAGCCTCATTAGCTTGTTGATGCTCAGAATACTAAGTGGTTTAGAAAGGCAAGGTAGGGCTTGAGCTGATAGTTTCTGTGCCACAAAAGACATTGGAGGTCGAGATCTAGGATGTGCACGTGTACAAGCCAATTCATCACAAGCACCACTGCCTTTGCCAATTCATCGGTCGAAGGCTTAAGTTGTTGGTCTAACACATCTTTCAAAAGCAACCCTACATTGTCTTGCGATAATCTTGACGATTCTAATAGTTAGGATTCTAGCTTAGCCCCAGGATGCTTTCCCATCATCACTTCTAGTGCTACGACTCCAAAGCTAAATATGTCACACTTATCCGTGACTTGCATAGTCAATGTAAGCTTTGCACGCAAACAGTATCTTAAGATGCTGAAATTAATATGAAACTAAAATGTACAAGTTTAAGTGTTACATTACCTGGTGCCATGTAGCTAAATAAACCAACAATATGTGTCTAGTTGGATGAATTACTACGCAATAGTCTTGCAGTTCCAAAATTTGAGAGCTGAGGCTAGAAATTGTGATCGAGTAATACATTGTTGAGATTTACATCGCAGTGCACAATTGGCAGAGAGCAGTCACTGTGCAAGTAAGAAAGTGTATGAGCAAGTCCTTTCAAAATTTTGACCCTAGTAGCCCAACCAAGTTCAGTAACCCCTTCAACCCCATACAATGATTTTCCCAGACTGCCTCTCTCAAAGTATTCATAACGCAAGAATATGCAACCCCTCCTCTTGCAATATCATTGAGTCAAAATTCTCAAAGTTATGAGAAGTTTTGATTTCCTGAGGCCGGAGCCTGGATCTCTTGCGTAATACTAATAAGAGAAAGAAAGCAATGATAGTTGCAACCACGCTAAAAGCCAAAAAGAATATGATGACCACAACGATTTGGTGCATCTCTAATTGTTTTTTTTTCCCACGTTTCTGCATATTGTTTATAGCTAAATGATTTGTATTTGGGGTCTTCCAAATTCTTTAACTGTTACTCTGTATGAAGTTTTATTAATTTTTTATTCGTTGGTTTCAAATCTTTTGTTTCGCTGTGTCTATCTTTTTTCCTCCCCTTCAATGCACCAAAGGATGTGCCCTTTTCTGTAATGATGTTCTTACCCATGCCTCTCTTCTTATTTTCTCTGTCATGACTCTTAATAAGCTGCTGAGCTATTTTGGTATGTTTTTGTGCTCACCTCTCAGGTTTTAGACATTACTTTGTATGACAGGATGTTTCTTTAATTAATCTTTTTTTTTTCTTTTCAGTTTGGCCAAGATGATTTCTCTTTTTCTTTCGATTCAATAAAAGAGGGCATTTTAAGCTTTTGTGATGTTTTGGTATATATGTTTTCAAGAAGGGCCCAGAAGAAATATTATAGGACCAATTTCAGGAATCATATCATGCAATTTGTTTTCAAATCACTACAGTTGTTGGACATGTTTTCTTGGTTTGGAGATAGTTTTGAATTTTCTTATTAAATCGTTTCTTTTTAAATTTTCTTATTGCTTTTCAGTCTTAATTTTTTCTTTCTTTCTTGCAATTTTGAATTATTTCAAACTAGGAATGTAAAGAGACTATTGTTTACAACATTGTTGAGAGTGTTGGTGGAGGTGTTAAAAGAGAAGTGTTCTTTGTTTTGCTGAAAATTCTTGCAGATTTTGGTGTTTAATTTTATTTGAATTTTTTAATTTGATCAAAGGATGCTTTGGTTAGTAGCCACTTTTATTCATTGGGTTTTTATTCGAATTTATAACACTGAGGGTATAGGTGAATGATGAAGCAATTTGGTTGGTTTCGGAGATGGTGGTTTTAAGATTATGGGCCTTTTTATTCAAGGTGAGCAATTTCAATTTCTTGAATTATTGAATAATTTATGTGAATTTACATTTAGACTTTCTGGAATTTGGGTTTTAATTTCAGTAATTCCAAATTTTTTCATGGTCTGTACCTGTCTCCCTTCTTCATCGTTTATGAAGCTTTTTAATTTTAGTGATTACCCAAGTTATTTAGTTTTGACTGTGTTGGTTTTTTATTTGCTGATTTTTTTAATAAAAGTCGTGTATTTAATTGAGTTGTAATATATAAATTCTTGCTGGATTAAGGGTTTATCTGTGTGACGATTACAGAACTACAATTCGATTAGTCGAGTGTCAGTCTTTTCATCTTTGAGTTGTTCTCTGAGCATCTGCTTTATCAATGTTTCCCTGCCTTCCTTTGTCCAGGCTGAAGCAATTGTGTTGCTGAGCTTCTCCCACATTCCACCACCACGCAGGTAGACTTTTCCAAACACGTGAATTACCATCGTCTCAAGCTATGTTGTATTTTTCACAATACTCACTTTGAAAAGGTATATTCTATAGCTTCGTTCTATTTCGTATGAAAAATTAGTGAATGGTTTGTTTTTTTTTTTTTTTAATGGATTTTTTGTATAATCAATTTATTGTTTTAACTTGACAAGCGTAACTCATACCTTTCCTACTTTGGCATCAAGTTTGATATTCATTTCTGTATTGCAGTTTTAGATTATTCTAGAGCCATAGTTATGGAAGGAAAAAGGATTTTCCGCCTATGACACCCAAGAAAGGTAGTATTCTTCTCTTTCTTTGTTAATTTATTAAGAAATGATTTCCTAATTTGAAGTGTGGGAAGGTTGTTGATTATCTCATTGACCCTGGCCTTTGTTGCCGGCACAAGTGGTGGAGATCCCTAATCACTTTATGTAAGTAAAGTCTTTGTCTTTGTGCACATTTCACACTGAGTTGTTAATGGGATTGTTCTTTAACCAGACAATTGTTTCCCAAAATCTGTATTTATGTCGTTGCCGTGCATTGAGCTATCTCATGAATCTTATGTTTTCAGTAATTCTTTTGTGTTGCCATGTGATCTTCAAACAGATGCACCTGCATTCTTTTCCAGATTTATGGAACATAGAGAAAAGTTTCAGGTTTTCCTTTTTCTTTGTTAACAACACTACTAGAAATTTGGCTATAAGCCACCCTTTTCATTCAGTGGCTATTGTCAAGTGTTGCCACTCACATTGGTGGCAAACCTCTATGCCCACCAAGCACCCACTAAACTAGAGAGTGTGGCCTATGTAGAGGACTCTATTGTAACAATGACTACCAATATTTCATTGGTGCCTTTCCTGCAGTGCCACCCTTATTCACATCGGTGGCAAAATTGCAAAATAATATTAAAAAAAGAGGATGCCCTGTGTGGGCACCCAAATTTGAATAGGAATATTTCCTTTTTTTTTTCTTTTTTTTTTTTTGTGAGGAAACAAATTGTAAGATCTTTGATATAAGAATATACTACAAATTTGCATAACTGATCTTTAATACAATTTTGAACAAATGTTGGGACTCAAACTTTGAAAAGTGTTTGAAGACTCTGTTTCCAAAGAGCTTAATCATGTCATGCCAATCTCTCTTTGGCGATCAAACCATTGTCTCTCCAGGTGGGATGTTTGAGCTAGGTTTCTTCAAACCAGGTCAGCTTTCAAACTACTATATAGGTATATGGTACTCCAAGCAAGTAGTATCTGAGAGGACTGTTGTTTGGGCAGCAAATAGGGAAATACCAGTCAAAGGCAGCAGCAGCAAGAGCAGATGATGATGATGATGCTGCGATGGGAGTTCAAACTAAACATCAAAATATTAGAGAGAATTGAAGCAAAGAAATACTCAACAAAATTACATTCACATATCCCAAAACAATATATATAAAAATAAAAAAAAGGAACAGAAATCTGGAAGAAGATGAAAAAATCGATGCAAAACTCTGCTGCACTAAAAAAAAATCAGGCAAGTCCTGATCGCCAAATTTCGAGCACAAAGAGCTGATCGCTAGAAAGAAATACAAAAACACATTGTTACTGAAGTTTTACTTGCAGCTCATTAGCATAGGACCATGCAGATGGCTCTAGATTTTTACACAAATCTGGAGGGCACCAAGACTACCAACCATATGCTTAAAGGAACTTTAATTTGTTTGCATAACTACCTGCTAACCAAATCTTGAGCATATTGATAAACCAGAAATTTAAACACGTAAGCGGCCAGATTGCAAGCACGAGACTAATTTCATACCTCAAACCGAAGGCGACGCGCTGTCTAGCAGTCCAAACCTTGATCCATGATAAATTGAACTTCCTTCTTTGATCTAGCAATCCAAAAATAGATAAATTAGGCAGCATGTCATATCAATATAACACACCTATACGTACACACACATACCAAAACAGCCTACATTCAGATTTGCATCATATCCTTGTTTCTAACTCTCAGGGGAATTTTCACAAACACCCAATAGGCAAGATTTGCTTCAATATAAAAGAAATCTGATTTCGTCAGTGATCTCAATTGCATGTATATCTGAACGACCATGCTTGTTAGTCAGTCATGTTATAGGATGTATTTAACACTTACCAAGCGATTCTAAAACAACATCCTACATACATATTATGTTGTCAAACTATGAATCAAGACAAAACTTTCCTACTTTGGTAATGTAATCTCCTAGTCTAGTTACGATTTGGTTCCTGTATTTTGACTTGAAAACAATTTTGGTCCCTTAGAAGTTGCCAATGGCTCCTGAATTGTAACTGGAAAAAAACTCAACACAGCTATGAAAAATTAAAACACGAGGCACCAAAGCGTGAAAAAAAAGAAACCAAAATAGTTAAATTTACTCTTTTATATCATACATACCATTAAAAATTTGTTTAGAGATAAAAATGGTAGTCATAGTAAAGAATCCAACTTGACCAAAGAAAGTGGATTTCCTCACTTTCTAGTGCTAACTAGCAAGCTTGCCCGCGCGGTGCTGCGGGTTTTGAAACTGTATAAAACATGTAGAAAGAGGCAAAAAGGTAGGTGTTATTCATTTGATCTCACAAAGACTGATATTATTGCAACACATTCCAACTGGAATTTAAAAAAAAAAACATAAACCTTTACTTTCTATGAACTATCACCAGAATTCTTCTCTGAACAATCATCAAGGGAACATCCTTTCTACTTTTTTCATAACTTCCTAACCATGCTCAGAAAGATTAGGATTCAACAATCATCAAAGGAGCATCCTTCAGATGATACAAATATTTAAGCATGAGCACACACCTCAAAAGAAAGGCAGAAGCTTGATGTAGGCCCATAAATCAAAAGAAAGCAGAAATCAGAAGAAAAAAAAATGCTAAAAAGCAATGTGAGTCACAAAATATATGAAACCTAGATCAAACTTCTTGATAAAACCTAAGAATAACTCCACAAATTTCTGAGTTGTAAAAAAAAATTCAGAATCCCAGATCAAATTTCTTGATAAACTTTAAAAACCCCAATTCAGATGAGGAAAATACATGAGGGACTAATTTTAGCCATATTAGTTGTTTGCATTAGGTTTTGAGAAACTCAAGTACGGAACAGAAAATGAAATCAGATAAGTAATGTTATATTCAAAAGATGAACACTAAACGTGTGATAAAGATGACAATGAAATTGAATTACGGGTTCTTACCGTGCCCTTTGTGAAGTGTCCTTAGTTGAGCAAAATATTCAAATATTTTCCTGATAGGCTTCCACCTAAAAAGGTAAAAGCAGAACATCAAAAATCATGCAAGCGTCCCTGTAGAACCTTTCCAACCTGATGAAAAATAAGGGAAGAGATCAAGACTGACCTGCTCAGCTAAAAACTTGATTTCAACAAAATCTATTAATTGCACATCTTTGTTCTTCTCAGCAACCTGTTAGTCGTAAATTCAAGGATGAACATAGTATAGTAAGACTGTTAATTCACAACACGAACCAATTGATGGTACAAAATATAATCACCTAAGCCTAATCATCTTATATTAAAAAGACATCATACAATAACAATGAATGTTTTACAGTGTGCAAGTGAAGCAGCTTTCATTTGCTAATTTCTTAAGTCATAATGCAAGCTCGATTGCTGGATAAAAAAAAAAAAAGGACCAAGAAGACATCAAATCCAATGCAGACAGTAGATAAAATTGAACCCAAACGGCAAAAGCCTTCTCTAACAAATAGATACATATAAAGAGTCATTTGGGATATAGATATTGGTGGACCTGGAAGAATAGAGACGCACTGAGTAGGAGAGAACAAAGAGAGATAGTGGAATTTTGGAGGAATACCGGATGACGATGAACTGTGTAGCCATAGTTGTTGGTGGCGGTGATTCCACTGCGAGAGACAGTTCGAAAAAAGGTAATCAATAAATCTTACAGAACTGTAATAATTCAGTCATGAGCTTCAAATCATTGACATTTCAATTATAAGGATTCATAATTTAAATTTTAAGATAGTATTAACGGTTTACAAAATTAGAAAGGTTCAAAGCCATTAACAATTATGTAACTCAGACTCTTCATACCTAGACTTTGCTCACTACAATCTCTATTTTAATCTTAGCGGCAAAGTTCTCTTCATATCTCATTACTTCACTCTTCTTTCTTCTTCGTTACCAAAATCATTTTCTTCATGTACTATCTGATCTATTCAGATTCTCCTCAGACAACAAATTGATAGCTGGGAAGAAAGAAGAAAACATGCATCAATAAAATTTCGAATTTTTAACTACCTCTAATTTATAATTAATCTAAGTAAATACACAGCAACCACAACAATAAGAACTTTCAAATAGAAAAGTATCTATTAACTACCATGCAGAGGATCTTCCTAGATCCAACTTCCCACAGCCCTATGTCCCCCACATTGGTACCAACTGAAGCATATACAGAGAACAATCAACAGTCAATTATGAGCAGCAAGCATCTAGGGAAAAACTGTAGAGCCAAAGGTATACAAATAAATATAAGTAGCTACTTAAAAAATACAACCCAAGAAGTAGAGTCTGCTGTGAAGGATGAAAATCCATGCTCATGGGAATTGAGCCCTGATTCAAAGTCCGTGTGACATTCTTAGGCAAGTCATCAGGTGCATTCAAAGCTTGCCCTGGACATGTTACTGGCCACATGTTAACAGGGAGATTAATCCTAATCCCTGATTTCTTGGTATTCCTGTACAAACTGATTATGGCCTGATTTTTTTAAAATCATTCCATAAGCTGCAACCACAACACAACCACAGCAATAAGAACTTTCATGAGCTGAATCTAAGCTTGCAAAAAGCATTCCATGAGCTGCAAAACGCAAATGCAACTGACTACTATGCATACCTTTGAATTTTTCAGATGCTTCTTCGGATATAGTTCATTGGAATCCAGTGTAGGTGGTGGTGCTAAAAGCATACATGTTCTTTGCTTCTTCCAATTTCTACATAAACACAAATTAACAAATTAATCTCCCAATTACAATACGTAGCATGAAATAACAAAAACAACCAATATAATCTGGTGCATTAAATGCTTTGCCCTCCCTCATTTTATACATCGTGGGAAAATATCAAACCCAAACAGAAGTCCTCTGAAACTCCGATTTCAATATAATCAAACACAAACAAAATACCAACTCAACTCTGATTATAAAAAAACTAAACTAAACTATAAATTGAAACTTTCAATAGAACAATCCCAGAATTTTAAATTACTTACGTTGAGAACAAAGGGTTTTGCAACCTACAAACAAACATCCAAAATTTGAACACCTACGAACCCAAAATCACAAAAACACCAAAACTGAAACACGGAATCACATTTTCTCATCTACCGAGCAAAAAATTACGAATCCAAAACTAAAATATAAAAAAAAATCCCAAAAACTTAGTGCTGCATGAAGTCCGTACCTTGGATTTTGAGGAAAGGAATATGGGTTTCGACAGATCGGCAACGTTTGAGAGCGAGAGAGACTGAACGCTTGAGAGTGAGAGAGGCGAGTTTGAGAACGGCGGAAGCAGAAATTTGAGAAAGAGAGAGAGGGAACGGATGAAAAAACCATGAAGATGCACTGGAAGTGGAAGGTCCAGCGATATGATGAACGGACGCAGGACTGGAGAGTTCCAGAGGCATCCACAAAGCGGAATCGAAATCGTCAATCGTGCTGCAGAGCACAGTTTTTCTTTTTTGGATTTCGTTTCTGAGGGAGTCGAGAGACTTCTATTGGCAATCCAGGGTCAAAACCGTCATTTTACTGTGTAATTGACAAAAACAGTAAGACTTAAAGAACAACTGAAGGGCAAAATTGGAACAACACTGGTCATCCACAGTACCAACCCTACGGGTTTTAGTATATATGATATATTTACCGTGCTTGAGACTACAAAAGCTTTATAAAAGCAGTTGCTTCTTTTTTAATTTGTCCATAAAAAATATTGCAACTGCAGATCCTGGAAATTTAAAAAAAAATTCCAAGCAAGAGATAAAATGTGATAGTTGTGGTTAAGGAGAAAATCACCATGTTCACCTTAATTTTTTTAGAAGAACCCTCTTCACCTTAGTTTCACCCACAACCTTCCAAGGCTTCCATTCTTCTCGGCCCAGGTTGGAAACAACCTTGATTCACCTTCCTTGTCCCCAATCTTCAACATGCATACAGAAAATGGAATTAAAATTTGAAATCTAGAATTGATCCAAAAAAAATCACTTACACTAGGGAACACCCATGAGGAGAGGATCATTTTTACCTCTTGGTTGAGGTCCAATTCAGGCAGACTTTGCTGGAAATTGGCCGGAATACCTATGGTCACCGTTTCTTAGATCTGAAATTGAGAAAATTCGGCTACAAATTTGGAGAAACTAACTTGAGGGTTGGAAAGAGGAAGGGAAGAGGATTCTGAAGGTATAGTTTGACGCTCGTTGGTGACGGGAGGACGGAGCCACTGCTGCATGAAAGAGAAGAGTATACGGGAGGGAGGAGAGAGAGAATGAAAGGGGAAGCGAGCGGAGGGAATGAAGGGGAGGAGTTGGACTTTTGTGAAGGGGAGAGAGGTTTAATGGTTTTTTTTTATTTGTTTTATTGGTGTTCAATAAATTGTATTGGTGCCCAGTTAATCACAAATGCACAAAAAAATATTTTTAAGAAATAAAGTTAGTTAACAGACACCAATATTGGTGGCTGATTTTTTTAGGCCACTGATATCAGTGGCATCTCACTGTAAAGCCACCAAATAATAGTAAGAGTAGCAACTTTATATCTATGACCACCAATTGCAAAGGGTGGGCAAAAAATGGTGTGTAATGGGCATAATTCTAGTAGTGCAAAGATAATTGTTGCTTATTGTTTTCCTTGGCTATCCTACTTTTAGCGTAGGTTGTGGGAAAAATCCCAAATTACTGCTTAGGATATTAGAATAGGCAACATGATTCTCTTTTTTTCTTTCATAAATATCTATTCGATTGGAAAATAGTCCAGTGTTTTCCTTACCTACTCATTGTTCATAGACTAACCCGAGTGTTTTAAGAGTCGGTACTTTTTTTGACTTTTTGTGAAGTGAGCAGATCAAGCTTACTCTCAACCTGGTCAGTCTTCAATCTACCAGTTACTTTAATGTCCTGTCTTCTAATTTGTATTTGTTCAGGATTTCAAAATTAATGTCTGATTTCTACCATTTTCATTATTGTTCTATTATTTTAAGCTACAGATGAAGTGTTAAGTGTTATACATGTTAGGTAGAATTAAGAAGTGAATTAGGTCCTCTTGAGAATGCAGGGGATAATTCTATGGGTGTTAACTTGGTTTTTAGTTTGATTGTTTGGCTATAACATAAAATCTCAATACTTACATTTTTTTATTTATAGTATAAACCTGTTGATGTATAAATTAATTGCATGTATTTTAATATTTCATTTTTTTTTCTTGCCTAGGTTGCTTTCTTGAAAATCAAGAGTACTGGACGGAAACTTTAGGTGCTTCAGTGAACTTTTATTTTTTCCCTTGCCTAGGTTGCTTTTTCGATTGTTTTTTTTTTTTTTGTTTTTTTGATTTTTTGTTGTAGACACAAAAGTTCCACAATTGTTTGTATGTGGACTGTATCGATTAAATTTTTTGTTTGTTAAAATCTTCTGACATTTTTAATGTGAATAATATTAATCATCTGTGGCATAATATTTCTTACAATTTCTAATCCCGCGGCAACGCGTGGGTATCAATTTCTAGTGGACAACTAGACTCCAATTGGAGATCACGGAAGGCAAGATTGGACACGTAAATACATTATCGGAGAAATCCAACTGGAGAATGCTGCTCAGATTGGACAAGGACAGTGGCAGCTCCCCACTAAGAAAATTGGAAGCCAGGAACAAGTACGTGAGGTCGGTACAATGGCCAAGCTCAAAAGGGATTGAAGAGTTTAAGCAATTCATTCCAAGATCAAAGGGCTGAAGCTCCGAGTTGACTTATGGTAGTTGGAATTTTTCCTTCAAATAGATGGTAAGTGTTGCATTCCTCTAAAAAAAAATTGTTAGTCTGATGATGTGGCACACATGTGAGTACAACATATTTAAATTCAAAGTATGTGTTGACACCAAATCTAACGTAGGGTGCAAATTTGGATATTAGTTTTAGGTTTCATATTGAAGAAATTCTCATGTAGAACCCATGGTTTGTTATATTCAGTTAACCTAGTTAACAGATTGTTTTAGTTTCGTAACTAAATCTAAACTGGTGAAATTTCGGAGGTGCAGATTTCCCAAACCTTTCTTTGTGCTTGGAATTTTGGAAAGGATTTTTCAACTCAAAATCAAGAGATGTGCGGTGCTAATGTTGATTGACGCGGTCTAATCTTCCCGCGGCCCCATCTATTTGCGCAGACTGAACAAAGTCAAAGATGTCTTATTTTTGAAAAATTCTAAGGTGATCGGCTAAAGGATATGGCACGTAAAATGATTGGTCACATCAAGTCATTTTAGCAAAGTTTAAGTCTAGCAGCGTGTGGATTAAGGCATGGAAATGTGTCACAAGCAAACACGACAAACAAAAAGATAAGAACATCTAGAGGAGTGCAGCAGATGTTCTGACGATTGATTTTCAAATAAAGCAAGCAGCAGCAGCAGCAGCAGCAAGTGAACCGAGTTGATCATGGTTTTACCAAGACACTTGCAAAATCAAGGAACAATTAATCGGATTAATTAACTAGAAATTCAAATGGAAAAATTTGTAAACATTTTCACTCGACAAAATTAAGCCAATTGGCTAACGAAATGGACAAATTTGCCAAATGCCTGTGGAAATTCAAAATTCAGGAGCCACAAACATATGCATATAATAAAAAGTAAATGAAAAACAGAAAAACCTTGCGACTAAAAAAAACAAAGGAAATTCAGAAAAACTTGGTACTTTATGGTAGCTTCTCGGAACGGCCGACCCAATGAAGGTTTCGGCCGGCCCGGCAGCGGCAATCCATTGGAAGTCAGAGGCAGCAGAAGATTAAAGGCATTACGCGTGCTTTAATGGTCATGTGCGAAATTCCAAGCGTGAAGAAAGGATCATAAACTCTGCATGCACCTCCAAAGTTGTTTTTAGTTGTGATGGGAACACGGATGGTTAATTTACGTGTTTTTATGTAAGTGGTGGAAAATTTTAATTTTTAATTTATTAATCTTTTAACATAAATATCTCATTATTTATATAAAGACACGTGATGTACCATCTCATGTGATGATCACACCAAAAAATCTCTCATCCAGGTTAAGACGAGGAAACGTGTCACAAGCAAACACGACAAACAAAAAGGAAAGAACATCTAGAAGAGTGCAGCAGATGTTCTGACGCTTGATTTTCAAATAAAGCAAGCAGCAGCAGCAGCAAGTGAACGGAGTTGATCATGTCTTTACCAAAGCACTTGCAAAATCAAGTAACAATTAATCAGATTAATTAACTAGAAATTCAAATGGAAAAATTTGTAAACATTTTCATTCGACAAAATTAGCCAATTGGCTAACGAAATTGACAAATTTGCCAAATGCCCATGGAAATTCAAAATTCAAGAACCACGTGTTTCTGAATATATGGTGTGTGGTGTGAATGAACGAATCAATGGTGGCTGCATCGGGTGTGTTTCTGAATGTATGGTCCTCCTGCTGCTGCTGTTTATTTGTGCCTTGGACAAAGGGAAACACTCCACGAAAAAATAACAGATCATCATGCAACTCAAAACCATGACGTTTCATTATATGCTCCTGCTGCTGTCCGCATTGCCACTGATCAAAACGACGTCAATATCTCCAGGAAAACAAGCAAAATCACTCATCAAATGGAAGGACGACTTGTCTTCATCATCATGGCCACCTTCGCTACTCAATTCATGGTCCCTCACCAACCTCAACAGCCTCTGCAACTGGACTGCCATTGCCTGCACCAAAGCCAACAGAGTCTCCAAAATAGACCTCTCCAATATGCAAATTACTGGAACACTCGCTCTCTTCGATTTTTCTCTATTTCCAAATCTCACCCACTTGAACCTGAGTGGCAACTATTTCCGAGGGCCTATACCATCTGCCATTGGAAATCTCTCCAAGCTCACAACTTTGGACTTTGGCAACACATTTTATGACGAGACTCGGAACCAATTCTCTGGCCCAATTCCGGACAATATAGGTTTGATTTCTGGTCTTCAATATATTGACCTGAGTGTTAATTTTCTGCAAGGGAAAATTCCACCCTCTTTAGGCAAACTCAGGGAGCTCCAGTTCCTTGATCTTTCATTCAACTCCTTAAACTCTTCAATTCCTTCTGAGCTTGGTCTTTGTACAAACCTCACCCACTTGTCGCTGTCTTCCAATAAACTCAACGGGGAACTGCCTCTGTCCTTGTCCAATCTGAAAAGCCTCGTTGAATTGGGTTTAGCTAATAATCAATTTATTGGTCAAAACCTTCCTTCTCTGGTCTCCAATTGGACGGAATTGGTCTTTTTGTACCTTCAGAACAATGGCTTCAGCGGAACCATTTCAGCAGAAACTGGGCAGTTGAGACAATTGCAATATCTGAGGCTTTATTCCAATGAATTCAGTGGAGAGATTCCTCAAAGTCTAGGCAAATTGACTCAACTTCAGGTACTCTCTCTCTCCGATAACCACTTGACAGGAGAGATTCCTCAGAGTCTAGGCAAATTGACTCTGCTTCAGCAACTGCATTTGTCCTATAACCAATTGACAGGAGAGATTCCTGAGAGTCTAGGCAAATTGACTCAACTTCAGGGACTCTCTCTCCCCAATAACCACTTGACAGGAGAGATTCCTCAGAGTCTAGGCAATTTGACTCAGCTTCAGCTACTCTATTTGTCCGATAACCACTTGACAGGAGAGATTCCTCAGAGTCTAGGCAATTTCTCTCGCCTCCGTGAACTCGATTTGTCCGCTAACAACTTCACAGGAGTGATCCCACGTATTTCAGGTATGTTGGACCTCAAGCTTCTTTCATTGTCTAATAACAATTTGACAGGGGTAGTACCAACTTATCTGTTTCTCGCCGTAGGCTTAACAGGTTTGGTCTACATGGATCTCAGCAGCAATTCACTATCGGGTGCAATACCATCAGGATTGCGCATGCTCACAAGATTAGAGGTTTTCAATGCCTCACGCAATCATCTCTCAGGCGAAATCCCATCCGCATTAGCTGACATGTCAAATCTAAGTAGATATGACTTTTCGTATAACAACTTGACAGGGCCATTACCAACCCGTGGCATTTTCGAAAAGGCGCCAACAAGTGCTTTTGTTGGTAACTATGGCTTGTGGAGTCATGCAAATGGACGAACTGAATTTAAGTCTTCCAGTACACATTCCAAAAGGGCTAACAAGAATAAAGTATCCATTATCCTTTATTCCTTTTGCGGTTTCGCAACTGTTGCAATTGCCATTTTTTTCTTTCTTATGTTTCGCAAGAAGTCCACGATCCGGCCTCAGGTAATCAAAACTTCTCAAAACTTTGAGAGTTTTGAAGCAATGATATTGCAAGAGGAAGTAAAATTTACGTTTGCAGAAGTTGTGAAGGCTATAGATGGCTTTCATGAGAAATACTGCATTGGCGAAGGAGGTTTTGGAAAGGTTTACAAGGCAGAGCTCCAATCAGGCCAAGTTGTTGCAGTTAAGAGGCTTAACATGGACGACTCCAATGATGTTCCAGCAATCAATCTTCAAAGTTTTCAAAATGAAATCCAAACTTTGACAACAATCCGGCATCGAAACATCATAAGGCTATACGGCTTCTCTACAAGGAAGGGTTGCATATTCTTACTTTATGAATACTTAGAGAAAGGCAGCCTCGGAAAAGCATTGTATGGGGTAGAAGGGGTTATTGAACTTGGGTGGCCAACAAGGGTAAAAATTGTGCAAGGACTTGCTCGTGCACTTTCTTACCTGCACCATGACTGCTCACCACCAATTGTGCATCGTGATGTAACTGTCAATAATGTATTGCTCGACGAGGACTTCGAGCCCCAACTCTCAGATTTTGGAACATCAAGACTGTTGAGTATTGATTCATCCAACTGGACCAACATTGTTGGTTCGCTAGGATACATGGCCCCAGGTAATATAAATTTTTTTAATGTTGTGCAACTTTGTACTATCTTTTGTAGAGTTGACATATTTTGTTCTCTTTATACGCAGAGCTTGCATATTTTATGCAGGTGACAGACAAATGTGATGTTTATAGCTTCGGAGTGGTGGCACTAGAAGTCATGATGGGAAGGCACCCCGGGGATATGCTAGAGTCTCAACTATTAAAATCATCATCGTCAATGAATGAAAATGCAGAGTTGCTTCTGAAAGATGTGTTAGACCAACGACTAGAGGCCCCAGCCAATGAATTGGCAAAGGCAGTGGTGCTTGTAATGAGTATAGCATTGGCTTGTATACAGACTCATCCTAGGTTGCGTCCGACAATGCATTTTGTGTCACAGAATCTATCAGCTCAGAGTCTTCCTTGCCTTCCTGAGCCATTTGGTATGCTTACCATCAACAAGCTATCGGCCCTTCAAAACTAGAAGAAAATAGAGAACATGTCACATTAGAATTCTTGCTACGAGCAGTCTATCAAATAAGTAGTGCAATTTTATTTTTTTTTTTATTTTTTTCTCAATGTTTACAACAAATTTCATAAACATTTAATTGATATCTGCACCACCTTGATTACTACAGAGTGTTGCAAATTGTGTTTAGCACTGTGGAATTCGTACTTGCATAAATAACTGTTACACACAAGTGTTCTGTCGAGATGCTTTCTTTTTTGGTTTGACTTTCCTATTGGTCGTAATTGATATTGTGATTGTAATTCTCTCTCTATCAACCATTTACATAGCTGTAGTTAGTGATGCAGTGCATAAGGAATTTATTCAACGGGGCTTTTGGTATTTTGGTGTTTGGTCATTCCGTTAATTATTAATTTGAGATTCATGTATCTTAGGCTGTGATTTAATATTTGTAGTAATTTTGATGCATTGTAAGTTGTGTTTTAAATTAAGTGGCTAGGTGGATCAATTGTCATTTAATATGCTTTGGTGGCTTAGGGAGTTGTATCTGCATTGATGAAGATGTTTTGGCACACTAGTATATTAGGGAGGGAGTTGGAATATAATTTTATCTCTATCGAGTTAGCTTACTATAGCTTCTCTTTTTATTAGCTTGTGTATTGTTATTCCCTTCCTATTCTCTGCAGCTTCTACGTGAACTGCATCAATTGGTATCAGAGCCTAGTTAAATGTGTCCAAGCTTCACTGCAGGGATTGAATATATTAGTCAGAACATGCATGAATAGTTTTTACACAATGTAACTGTATGACAATACAGTACCTAAGAACCAATGAAGTGATACTTTGCTTGCTATACATGGATATGCATGCTATAAGAAACATTCATTTGCAGATCGTATTGTGTCATCAATATTATACTCATAGTTTCCTCAGCCCACACCATGCGTGAAAAACACAAAAGTAGAAGACACAATACTTCAGCATCTGGCAGGAATAGCAAGCTCGTGAAAAAATTGTTAAGCCGTCTTACAAATTCAATTGCCAAATGTTATATTGTAACCAAAGACAAAGAACATATAGTTTGTTTACAAATCAAAACGAAGTGCTGCCATAATGTGCGATTGAAAAAATGCCTCTTAATGCAGTCTTGCAAGAAATGAATGCAGTTCGAAAATAACCCAGAAAACACCCTAGAAATCTTTACCACCCCAATCTTACTAAATAGAAGCATAAATGGACATGATCCCTGCCTAATTTTGCAACAGAAACTCTAACAAAGAATATCATGCTCCAAAGGTCTTGACTTATCTCTGGCATAAATATGTACACTGTAAGTTTAGTTCGAATAAAACAAATACGCGTGTAAAGTAGAAGGCATCAACGCTACATGCACTGCTTTACAACCATCCCAAGTTGTTGACACAATGCTTAAAATATTTGAGACTCAAAGATTTTCACACAAATAGAACACCTCACCTAACCGAAGTTGTGGTTTCTGAATTAAGCAGGCAAACGCTTTCCAAGGCTTTCTTCAATATCATCTCATATTCCCTTTTCATCTTTCCTATATGATACAAAAATCCGTTCACATTCAGACGTAAATAAGAGAATATGCCACATTGTACTATTACAGTTGCTAGTCATGAACAAAAATGCAAGTGCAGTTGCTCTTAATCGAGAACATCATCAAACAATCAATAATAAAATTTAATGTAATCTGTCAAAAACCCAAAAAAAAAAAAAAAAAAAAAAAAAACCGATCATTTGAAGGCACCATAATGCCTTCGCCATCGTACACTTGCAGTATGTAATTGATGCATCTGTTGTTCAATGAAATCATTTGCTTGGCTAAAAAAGTTAAAACACAATAAATACAATGATATCCAATTTATGAGAAATCATGCAAAAGCAGCTGTAAATGATAATGGAATCATGAATGCAAATCAGAAACACAAACTTGCCAAAAAGAAAACCTATTATAGCATGCAAAGATACTCGCATTGTATTTTTTTTATTGCGTCATCCATTTCGCAACACATTTAAAAAAGTTTGTTTGAAAATGCTTTGCTATGATGATTAGGTATTGCAAAAAAAAAAAATAGAAACAATTACTAAAAAAGCAAAATAATGGCCTAGTAATGGCAAAATACACTCCTCAACAATGCACACAAACATGTGAGTTGAAATTTTGAAACATTAGACAACAAAAAGAAAGAAGCAAAATTAGAAGAAAAGAAAGAGATGTGCTCACTCAAAAAAAAAAAAAACAATACCAAGCTTCTTTTCTTCGGCGTCTAGAATTCCATCGCTGACTCCTCAACCTTAAACATAATTAAAATACAAAATGGAAAAAAAACAGAGTAGAAATCATCCCATAGAATTAAATCATCCAAGTAAAATTAGACCATGGACACAAAAAGAAATGAAGGCAGTTTAATTTAACTTAATCAGTGACGTACTGAATAATCTTGGAATCTATCCCATGCAAGCGTTCGTTTCAACCCCCATCCTCGTTGCCCCTGTAATATGGAAGGAGGAGATGCACAAAGTTTGTTTAATTATTTCAAGGAAAGGCAAGCAAAGGATTCCAAATTTTTCTATTCGATACAAGTGGACCAATTGAATCGGATGACAAATTTTTTTTGGACATATGACAGATCAAGGTTAGACTATGATTGTTGAAGATGCTTTATGCTTCGATACTACATTTCGAACTAACAAGTACAATTTGATTTGTGTTGTATTTGTTAGAGTTAATCATCATTGAGGGAATGTGCTACTTGGTTGTGCTTGTTTGTTAGGCGAAAGCACCGAATCATTTGTTTGGTTATTTAAGACATTCTTAGAGTCGATGGGTAATAAACAACCAAGGACTATTTTCATTGATGAAGATCAAGCAATGGCAAATGCTATTGAGCAAGTGTTTACGGCGACACGTCATCGATTGTGTACTTGGCACATCGCACATAATGCTACAAAGAATATTTCTAGCCTTTATATCAATCCTGAGTTCAGAACACATTTCAACAAGGTGTTTGGTGGTTGTCAAAGTGTACCAGAATTTGAAGCTGCATGGGATTCCATGACTAGTAAGTTCAACCTTCAAATTCATATGTGGCTTAATAAGCTATATAACCTTCGTAATAAGTGGTGTCCTGCCATTAGCTTAGATACTTTCTCTGCAAAGATGAAATCCACTCAAAGAGTTGAGAGTACAAATAATGTTTTCCACCAAATATGTTCAAAGACAACAAGTATTATCGAGTTTGTGCATCACTATGAGAAAAAGCTAGAAGATATGCGTTTGACAGAGTTGCAAGAAGATTTTCACTGCAAACAAGGTATGCCTTGTCTCAAAGTAATTAGTGAAATTTTATGTCATGCAGCTAAGGCGTACACCAATAAAATATTCAAGTTCTTTGAAATTGAGTACATGAGTTGTTTGACAATAAGGTTAAGAGAGGTTAGTAATGAAGAAGGAGTTATTATCTATGAAGCAATCGAAGAAGGTCATAAAAGAGTGAACACAGTTGAGTTTATCTTTCATACTTCCATGGTTTCCTTCTTATGTAAAATGTATGAAGCTAAGGGCATATTGTGCCATCATACTTTGAGGGTGTTTGATTCAAAATATCTTACTAATATACCAACCCAATATGTATTAAAGAGATGCTTTTGAGTAGTGCTTTAGATGATTCATCACCACAAGGAAATCTGAAGTCTGCTCAATCATTACGTCTCAGTCAATTGATGCATAAAGGAAATAGTCTTTTCTGCTTAGCATCAATGAGTGATTAGGGTGCTCACGTTGTTAGTGAAAAATTATCAGAGGCAATGAAGTTGGTTGAAAAATACATAAAAGCAAAGAAAGCCTCGGATAAGGTTAAAAAGAAAAATAGCCACTCTACTTCCGGTGTTCAAGATGATGATCAAAATATATTGGATCCTCCAACTGTGAGAGCTAAAGGGGTAACCAACAAGAGATTGAAGAGTGCTTTGGAAAAATCGAAGAAAGTAGCAAAAGTTAGATATACCTCGCAAATGTCACCACCTAATACTATAGTTTCTGGTAATACTCATTCAATATGGTACCTTATACTTTTTATTGTGAATATACTAAATTATTATATAATGAATATATGTACACTTGCAAAGCAACATAGTCGAGAAACTATCAATGCTCCTTCAAATATGACAACCTCGTATCCATCATTTCATGACTTTTATAATCAGGTTTGTATTGAAACTTATATTTGGGGTTATAAGTCACAATTTGTGTTATCATTCTAACATTTTGTTTATTGATTTAGGTTAATGGCAGTAGACATCTTGGATAACACAACTTTAGCTCTTCAACTTCAAGAATTCTTAGAAAAATGATCAGATGTTGGAAACACAGAGCTCATGGATTGAAGATGGATGAATTGAAGAAATGATGTGGGATTTTTATTTCTTTTTATTTATATAGTCTGGCTGCTTGACAATTTGTCAAAATAACTTTTAGATTCACCTTGGATATCAAGTTTTTTAACAGCTTATGTTTTGATCAAACTTTTATTTCAAATAGTATTATCTATAGTTCTTAATTATATTTGGTAGAGATGTATTTTCTTTAAAATAGAAATCTACTACGATCAAAACAAAGTGAAAGGTAACAAATCAGTTATGAAAAAATTAACTCGATAATTTGGAGTGTGCACTTTTGTATTTATAGAGAGGAGATAAATAGTGAGGGAAAAGAAAGGTTTGTATTTGGAAAGAGGAAAGAAAGCAAAGAAATTTTGGGAAGAAAAAAGTGCAGAATTTCATAGTGATGCACAAACTCATGGTGGAAGAACATACATCTATCTCTAGCCGGAACATACATCCATCACTAGCTTAACCTAATGGTTTTTGTCTTGCGGTGGCACTCTTGAGTAAATATTAGGCCTGGCAAACGGGTCGTGTCTGTCGTGTTCGTGTCGTTTTCGTGTAACACCTGTTATCTTAACGGGTCGTGTCGTGTCACACTCGTTATCTTAACGGGTCCTTAACAGGTCGGGTCACTTTACCCAACGGGTAAAGTGACCCGACCCGTTATGACCCGTTAAGAATTTTTTTTTTTTTTTTTTTAAATTTGCACATACCACACATTGCCACATAAATATTACTTCAAAACATTAAAACATTTGTCGTTTAGGTACTATATCTACACTCGAAAATAAGAGCCTAATAAAAAAATAATACATACACTACTAATCTATTACAAATATTAAATGTGCAAGGATATGCAAAATGAAAGAGTTTTTGTTTTCAAGATTGTAAGTCTTTCTCAAAAGTTTACACCTCTATCTACAAAATCTTCAATTTACATCGATCATCATGAAATTGTATTGAAACTTTGGCTTGATCTATTGCCTTGAAGAGTTATGTTGAAGATGTTTACAGTGAGGTTTTCCACGTCAGAACTCTCTTCCGCACAAACTAAGTATAGAAAAACCAAACATTAAAAATCATTCAAATTATGAGAAGTTTA